CCAAGTCAAACACTGTGTTCAAGTTTATGACACACAAGTATATCAAACGTTACCATTATTCCAGCAACATCACGGCAGGGGACACCAGAAATAAGTTTCACATAACGCAATCATGTGGGAAATTGAACAGGCGTTCAAACAATATAGATCTGCTTTATACATTTTGTGTTCTGATTGAGTGATCAAATAGTACAGAGCTGCCCATATACAAGGGAGACGGGGTTGGGTGAGTTGAAACGTTCTGAGCCTAACTACGAAGGACGATCGTACCCCCTTATCCAGTGCATGCATTTGGACCCCCACACAACCAGGCTGCATATTTCTGCAGGCATCAAAAGTGACTAGGTATTTTTTCTGGATGACAATGGGCAAAACTGGCCACCACGCTGTCATCAAGTATCTCCAATGGAAAGCGTAATTGAGTGAGTGTGATTTTACGCCGCTTTGAGCAATATTCCAGCAATATCACGGCGGGGGTCACCAGAAATGGGCTTCACACATTGTACCCGTGTCGGGAATCGAACCCGGGTCTTCGGCGTGACGAGCGAACGCTTTAACCACTAGGCTACCAGACCGCCCCCAAATGGAAAGAGCCAACTACAACAGCAATCCTTGCGGGCATGTTGTTCCCTTCGGGGACTTTTTGTACCCGATTGACACTGTTGTACAGTGGATTTGATGAGGGTAGAGGGAGCCTCAAAGATTATCCAAGATCAGGAAGACCTCCAACGAAAGTTGATAAAATACATGATCTGATTATGGATGATCGAGGACTCACCCACATCATATAGCCAATACAGTCGGCATCTGACATAAAAGAGTTGAGAACATTCTAGGTGAATGAATCTGACATAGGTTCTTCCTCATCAGAAAACACTCCTGGTCTCTGTTCCACAAAGCCATCTTAGCGCTAAGTTGATCGTAACTCCCATACTTTAACATAGGCTTACGGTAGTCGTAGCGCAAAGATGATCGTAACTCCCATACTTTAACATAGGCTTACGGTAGTCGTAGCGCTAAGATGATCGTAACTCCAATACGTTTACATAGGCTTACGGTAGTCGTAGCGCTAAGATGATCGTAACTCCCATACTTTTACATAGGCTTACGGTAGTCGTAGCGCTAAGATGATCGTAACTCCCATACTTTTACATAGGCTTACGGTAGTCGTAGCGCTAAGATGGCTTTGTGGAACGGGGCACTGGTTCGTCGTCATTCGTGAGAATTTTCGTCGTTCTGAAGCAGACCAAGCTGATTATCGTTGAGCAACCATGGAGAAGAAAGAAGGCAAAGTCTGTTCCATCAAGTGGTAAGATGATGGCTTCGGTTTTCTTGGATTCCAAATTAATCCGACCATTCATGGCCAACATGATGCTAATCTGTGACGTGTGACACCCCAAGTAGCACTGTGAATTCGTCTATCACTTTGTTAATATCCAAGAATTGTAAACAAAGCATGAACGCTTCTGTTCATTGATTTGTTCATTGCTTCCTAATTTTTTCGTTGCTTCCTAATTTCTTTCTTGATTTGTTTATTGCTTTCTGATGCATTGGTACATATGCTGTAAAAGAAGTATGGTAAAGATGATTGTTTCATTTATGATTTTTGTAAGCTCCAATATGAATCTTAATAATAACTTCGCCTAACTCGCCCACAGAATAATTCACTAACTCCCCCTTCTGCTCATCCAGTCGTAAATCAACCAAGATATCGCACTATAATGATCTGTACATACCCGGGTCATAGCATAAAGTCCTGTACATACTCAGGTCATAGCATAATGTTCTGTACATACCCAGATCATAGCATAATGTCCTGTACATACCCAGGTCATAGCATAATGTCCTGTACATACCCAGGTCATAGCATAATGTTCTGTACATACCCAGATCATAGCATAATGTTCTGTACATACCTAGGTCATAGCATGATATTCTGTACATACCAAGGGTCATAGCATAATGTTCTGTACAAACCCAGGTCATAGCATAATGTCCTGTACATACCAAGATCATAGCATAATGTTCTGTACATACCCAGGTCATAGCATAATGTCCTGTACATACCCAGGTCATAGCATAATGTCCTGTACATACCCAGGTCATAGCATAATGTCATGTACATACCCAGGTCATAGCATAATGTCCTGTACATACCCAGGTCATAGCATGATGTCCTGTACATACCCAGGTCATAGCATAATGTCCTGTACATACCAAGGTCATAGCATAATGTTCTGTACATACCCAGGTCATAGCATTATGTTCTGTACATACCCAGGTCATAGCATAATGTCCTGTACATACCAAGATCATAGCATAGTGTTCTGTACATACCCAGATCGTGGTATAATGTTTTGTACATACCCAGATCGTAGTAAATTGTTCTGTACATACCCAGGTCATAGCATAATGTCCTGTACATACCAAGATCATAGCATAATGTTCTGTACATACCCAGATCGTGGTATAATGTTTTGTACATACCCAGGTCATAGCATAATGTCCTGTACATACCCAGGTCATAGCATAATGTCCTGTACATACCCAGATCATAGCATAATGTCCTGTACATACCCAGATCGTAGTATAATGTTCTGTACATACCCAGGTCATAGCATAATGTCCTGTACATACCAAGATCAAAGTATAGTGTTCTGTACATACCCAGATCGTAGTAAAATGTTCTGTACATACCCAGGTCATAGCATAATGTCCTGTACATACCAAGATCAAAGTATAGTGTTCTGTACATACCCAGATCGTAGTAAATTGTTCTGTACATACCCAGGTCATAGCATAATGTCCTGTACATACCCAGATCAAAGTATAGTGTTCTGTACATACCCAGATCGTAGTAAAATGTTCTGTACATACCCAGGTCATAGCATAATGTCCTGTACATACCAAGATCATAGCATAATGTTCTGTACATACCCAGGTCTTAGCATTATGTTCTGTACATACCCAGATCATAGCATAATGTCCTGTACATACCCAGATCATAGCATAGTGTTCTGTACATACCCAGATCGTGGTATAATGTTTTGTACATACCCAGGTCATAGCATAATGTCCTGTACATACCCAGGTCATAGCATAGTGTTCTGTACATACCCAGGTCATAGCATAATGGCATGTACATACCCAGGTCATAGCATAATGTCCTGTACATACCCAGGTCATAGCATAATGTCCTGTACATACACAGATCGTGGTATAATGTTCTGTACATACCCAGGTCATAGCATAATGTCCTATACATACCCAGATCGTAGTATAATGTCCTGTACATACCCAGATCATAGCATAATGTCCTGTACATACCAAGATCAAAGTATAGTGTTCTGTACATACCCAGATCATAGTAAAATGTTCTGTACATACCCAGGTCATAGCATAATGTCCTGTACATACCAAGGTCATAGCATAATGTTCTGTACATACCCAGGTCTTAGCATTATGTTCTGTACATACCCAGGTCATAGCATAATGTCCTGTACATACCCAGATCATAGCATAGTGTTCTGTACATACCCAGATCGTGGTATAATGTTTTGTACATACCAAGGTCATAGCATAATGTCCTGTACATACTCAGGTCTTAGCATAATGTCCTGTACATAGCCAGGTCATAGCATAATGTCCTGTACATACCCAGGTCATAGCATAGTGTTCTGTACATACCCAGGTCATAGCATAATGTCATGTACATACCCAGGTCATAGCATAATGTCCTGTACATACCCAGGTCATAGCATAATGGCCTGTACATACCCAGATCGTAGTATAATGTTCTGTACATACCCAGGTCATAGCATAATGTCCTGTACATACCCAGATCATAGCATAATGTTCTGTACATACCCAGGTCATAGCATAATGTTCTGTACATACCCAGGTCATAGCATAATGTCCTGTACATACCAGGTCATAGCATAATGCCCTATACATACCCAGATCGTAGTTTAATGTTCTGTACATACCCAGGTCATAGCATACTGTTCTGTACATACCCAGGTCATAGCATAATGTCCTGTTCATACCCAGGTCATAGCATAATGTCCTGTACATACCCAGGTCATAGCATAATGTCCTGTACATACCCAGATCATAGCATAATGTTCTGTACATACCAAGATCAAAGTATAGTGTTCTGGACATACCCAGATCGTAGTATAATGTTCTGTACAAACCCAGGTCATAGCATTATGTTCTGTACATACCCAGGTCATAGCATAATGTCCTGTACATACCCAGATCATAGCATAGTGTTCTGTACATACCCAGATCGTGGTATAATGGTTTGTACATACCCAGGTTATAGCATAGTGTCCTGTACATACCCAGGTCATAGCATAATGTCCTCTACATACCCAGGTCATAGCATAGTGTTCTGTACATACCCAGGTCATAGCATAATGTCCTGTACATACCCAGGTCATAGCATAATGTCCTGTACATACCCAGGTCATAGCATAATGTCCTGTACATACCCAGATCGTAGTATAATGTTCTGTACATACCCAGGTCATAGCATAATGTCCTGTACATAACCAGGTCATAGCATAATGTCCTGTACATACCCAGATCGTAGTATAATGTTCTGTACATACCCAGATCATAGCATAATGTCCTGTACATACCCAGATCAAAGCATAGTGTTATGTACATACCCAGGTCATAGCATAGTGTCCTGTACATACCCAGGTCATAGTATAATGTTCTGTACATACCCAGGTCATAGCATAATGTCCTGTACATACCCAGATCATAGCATTATGTTCCGTACATACCCAGATCGTAGTATAATGTTCTGTTCATACTTAGGTCGTAGTATTAAGTTCTGTACATACCCAGGTCGTAGTATTAAGTTCTGTACGTACTCAGGTCGTAGTATAAAGTTCTGTACATTCCCAGTTCGTAGATCAACGTCCGTACATACCCAAATCGCAGTATGAAGCTCTGTACATATCCAGGTCGAAGTGTTCTGTACATACCCAGGTCGTAGTATATTCCCTTGTACAGATGCAGATCGTGGTGCTGTACTCTGCTTCTGGGTCAGAGCTGTCACTACCACCACTTCGGCCACAAGCGACATCATCCACGTGGCGAATCCCATGCCGCTTTGGATGCGTACACACTAGTCTGTAACTTCAGAGGACAAGAATTGTCATTGCAAACACCTCTCGCATCTGTCATGAAGCAACCATCCTCACACACTGCCAGCACGTCTCCGTGCTGCTCCCAGCGGCAGCCTGCAGCGATTGTGCCCGTGAGTCGCTGCGAGTCATCCCGATGCATACACTCCAGTAGACTGTAGAATGGCAAACACTAGTGTTGTGACTCAATCGCTGGCAAATTATTATAACAACATCTATCTCCCATTTGCCATCTCGTACGTATACACCTAAGGTCCTGCAAAGTGAACTCCACGTCCCCCTTTTCCCCTGATATCTCACAGTCACCAAACATCGTGTCCAACATGTGTCTGATATCTCAGTTACCAAACCTCGTGTCCAACTTGTGTCTGATATCTCAGTCACCAAACCTCGTGTCGAACATATGTCTGATATCTCAGTAACCAAACCTCGTGTCTAACATGTGTCTGATATCTCAGTCACCAAACATCGTGTCCAACATGTGTCTGATATCTCAGTCACCAAACCTCGTGTCCAACTTGTGTCTGATATCTCAGTCACCAAACCTCGTGTCCAACTTGTGTCTGATATCTCAGTCACCAAACATCGTGTCCAACTGTGTCTGATATCTCAGTCACCAAACCTCGTGTCCAACTTGTGTCTGATATCTCAGTCACCAAACCTCGTGTCTAACATGTGTCTGATATCTCACAGTCACCAAACCTCGGATCCAACATGTGTCTGATATCACAGTCACCAACCCCACTGTCCAACATTTGTCTGATATCTCAGTCACCAACCCCACTGTTCAACATTTGTCTGATATCACAGTCACCAACCCCACTGTCCGACATTTGTCTGATATCTCAGTCACCAACCCAACTGTTCAACATTTGTCTGATATCTCAGTCACCAACCCCACTGTCCAACATTTGTCTGATATCACAGTCACCAACCCCACTGTCCAACATTTATCTGATATCTCAGTCACCAACCCCGCTATCCAACATTCGTCTGATATCTCACAGTCACCAACCCCACTGTTCAACATTTGTCTGATATCTCAGTCACCAACCCCACTGTCCAACATTTGTCTGATATCACAGTCACCAACTCCACTGTCCAACATTTGTCTGATATCACAGATCCAAAACCCCACTGTCCAACGTTTGTCTGATATCTCAGTTACCAACCCTACTGTCCAACATTTGTCTGATATCTCAGTTACCAACCCCACTGTCCAACTGTGTCTGATATCTCAGTCACTAAACCTCGTGTCCAACTGTGTCTGATATCTCAGTCACCAAACCACGTGCCCAACATGTGTCTGATATCTCAGTCACCAAACCTCGTGTCGAACATATGTCTGATATCTCAGTCACCAAACCTCGTGTGCAACATTTGTCTGATATCACAGTCGACAACCCCACTATCCAACATTTGTCTGATATCTCAGTCACCAACCCCACTATCCAACTTTCGACAGATATCCCACAGACACTAATCTAACTGTCGGACATTTGTCTGATATCTCACAGGCACCAACCACCACATCTGACGTTCGCTCATACTCAGACACAGTATACCTACTCCGAGCCGACCAGTCCTTGTTTTAGACCCTGAATGCTGAACGCCAGGCAGAGTAACAACAAATACTACCTTTTAACGTCTATGCTATGATGCGGCCGTGGATCGAGCCCCTGACCTTCCGCCCTCCGGACAGACGCTCTACCACTAGACCGCGGTAGGTGACGCGGAGTGTCTTCTGCAGTGTCTAATCGTGTGTGTTACAGATTGTCTTCTCCAGTTTGATAGTATGTGTGCTGGCGTGTCTTGTGTAGATGTTCTACGTCGCGTGTGTTTGCAGAGTGTGTTCAACGCTGATGAAGCAGGCGACGGAGTTAAGTGGAGGTTCCTGTTGCTAAACTGTGCTGCTCTTTCATCTGGCAGCAGTGGAATATTTATAAAGAATTTGACACGTCCGTCATAGCATCTGTACATTTCCTGGTCCAAAGCCAGTGCCAGAAACAGTGTCTGCACCACTGCTAACGTACACGGAAATGTGCACGGTAGTTACAGTTGTGCTGGTCACCGATTGATTAGTGGACATAAGCAACAGGTCTGGGGTGAGGTCCGGCTGTGTAGGGAAGGCAGACACAGGGGCTGGGATGGGGTCAGGCTGTGTAGGGAAGGCCAACACACGGGCTGGGGTGGGGTCCGGCTGTGTAGGGGAGGCAGACACACGGACTGGGGTGGGGTCCGGCTGTGTAGGGGAGGCAGACACACGGGCTGGGGTGGGGTCCGGGTGTGTAGGGGAGGCAGACACACGGGCTGGGGTGGGGTCCGGCTGTGTAGGGAAGGCAGACACAGGGGCTGGGATGGGGTACGGCTGTGTAGGGAAGGCCAACACACGGGCTGGGGTGGGGTCCGGCTGTGTAGGGGAGGCAGACACACGGACTGGGGTGGGGTACGGCTGTGTAGGGGAGGCCAACACACGGGCTGGGGTGGGGTCCGGCTGTGTAGGGGAGGCAGACACACGGGCTGTGGTGGGGTCCGGCTGTGTAGGGGAGGCAGACACACGGGCTTGGGTGGGGTTCGGCTGTGTAGGGGAGGCAGACACACGGGCTGGGGTGGGGTCCGGCTGTGTAGGGGAGGCAGACACACGGGCTGGGGTGGGGTCCGGCTGTGCAGAGGAGGCAGACACACGGGCTCGGGTGGGGTCTGGTAGTGTGTTGGGAAGGCAGACACACGGGCTGGGGTGGGGTCCGGTAGTGTGTTGGGAAGGCAGACTCACGGGCTGGGGTGGGGTCCGGCTGTGTAGGGGAGGCAGACACACGGACTGGGGTGGGGTCCGGCTGTGTAGGGGAGGCAGACACACGGGCTGGGGTGGGGTCCGGCTGTGCAGAGGAGGCAGACACACGGGCTCGGGTGGGGTCCGGTAGTGTGTTGGGAAGGGGTCCGGTAGTGTGTTGGGAAGGCAGACACACGGGCTGGGGTGGGGTCCGGCTGTGTAGGGGAGGCAGACACACGGGCTCGGATGGGGTCCGGTAGTGTGTTGTGAAGGCAGACACACGGGCTTGGGTGGGGTCCGGTGATGTGTTGGGGAGGCAGACACACGGCCTGGGGTGGGGTCCGAACTTGTGGGGAAGGCAGACACACGGCCTGGGGTGGGGTCCGAACTTGTGGGGAAGGCAGACACACGGCCTGGGGTGGGGTCCGGTGATGTGTTGGGGAGGCAGACACACGGGCTGGGGTGGGGTCCGGCTGTGTAGGGAAGGCAGACACACGACCCGGGGTGGGGCCCGGTGATGTGTAGGGGAGGCAGACACACGGGCTGGGGTAGGGTCCGATGATGTGTGGGGAAGGCAGACACACGACCAGGGGTGGGGCCCGGTGATGTGTAGGGGAGGCAGACACACGGGCTGGGGTGGGGTCCGGCTGTGTTGGGAAGGGAGACACACGATTTTGAAAGGGTCGGTCAGCGGACCTATTAGAAGTCTAATAAGAGCAAACTTTCAAAAACCACAGAAGTATTTATTACAAGGGCATTATATACACTGTTCGTTTCTTTCTTGGAGTACGACCTGGTCTAGCACAGCCCAGGCACGTGATGTTACATCCTATATTTGCCATAGTTGTCTTCTTGCTTCTCTCCACCCCATGGAGATGGCGGTCTCCCCGTGTTGTGGAAGTAGTACTGTGTGTCATGGCGTCAGTCGGGAAACACAAATACACCGAAACGACACACAACTTGTTCAACTTCCGGCAGCGAAGAAGGATCAGTGGGTGCAGCCACCAGATGGAGGTGGAGACGTCCGGTTATAAACCTCCAACATCCGGGTATAGACGTTGTCCGTGAGCTCCGTAACGTCATCCGACGTCATCCCGGTAGTTGGGACGGGAGGAAGGCACGTGATGGTGAACCGTCCTGTTGGGACAAAGTCAGTGAGAATTGGTCAGTGACATGACACACTAAACAGACCACAGAACATGGCCCTAAACACAACATGATGCTTCATACCACATACAACACGACGTACAACACAACACGATGTTCTACACAGGATGACACAACAACAAACAACACTCAACATAAGACGCCTCTAGAACCTGCAGCGCTCCACACAACACGATGTTCTACACAAGACGACTCAACAACAAACACTCAGCATGAGACGACTCTTGAACATGCAACGCTCCACACAACACGATGTTCTACACAAGACACTCAACAACAAACACTCAACATAAGACGCCTCTAGAACATGCAGCGCTCCACACAACACGATGTTCTACACAAGACGACTCAACAACAAACAACACTCAACATGAGACGACTCTAGAACATGCAGCGCTCCACACAACACGATGTTCTACACAAGACTACTCAACAACAAACAACACTCAACATGAGACGCCTCAAGAACATGCAGCGCTCAACACAACACGATTTTCTACACAAGACGACTCAACAACAAACACTCAACATGAGACGTCTCTAGAACATGCAACGCTCCACACAAGACGACTCAGCAACAAACACTCAACATGAGACGACTCTAGAACATGCAATGCTTAACACAACACGATGTTCTACACAAGACGACTCAACAACAAACACTCAGCATGAGACGACTCTTGAACATGCAACGCTCCACACAACACGATGTTCTACACAAGACACTCAACAACAAACGCTCAACATGAGACGCCTCTAGAACATGCAGCGCTCCACACAACACGATGTTCTATACAAGACGACTCAACAACAAACAACATTCAACATGAGACGACTGACGAGCTCGAAGTGATGCACGTGTCAGACATTTACCCCTTTGGTGCAACCCACGAACACGGGAATGGTGCTGGCAACCCAGGAAACATATTCGGGGAACGAACCAGGATTCGAACCCACAAAGGAATATTGAGAGTTCTCTGAGAGGGTGGGGAGGGATATTTAAAATATCTCTGAGATGATGTAGAAGCGATGTTGGGAAATTGAATTTGAAAGGGTGTAGAGGGAGCACTGACAGCACTGATATCTTTGAGAGGGTGTAGGGGGAATATTTGCGAGAGAGTGGAGAGGGAGCATTGATATACCTCTGAGAGGGTGGAGAAGGAACATTGATAGATCTCTGAGAGGGTGTAGAGGGAACGTTGAGAGTTCTCTGAGAGGGTGAAGAGGGAGATTTGAAAGATCTCTGAGATGATGTAGAAAGCATATTGAGAAATCTTTGAAAGGGTGTAGAGGGAGCACTGAGAGATCTTTGAGTGAGTGAGTGAGTATGGTTTTACGCCGCTTTTAGCAATAATCCAGCAAATCACGGCGGGGGACACCAGAAATAGGCTTCACACATTGTACCAGTGTCAGGAATCGAACCCAGGTCTTCGGCGTGACGAGCGAACGCTTTAACCACTAGGCTACCCGACCGCCCGAGAGATCTTTGAAAGGGGTAGGGTGAGTATTTAGAGATCTGTGAGAGTGTGGAGAGGGAGCACTGATAGATCTTTGAGAGGATGTAGTAAGAGTATTAACCTTAAGTCAATTAAAGGGCACCGCAAGAATAATGAGTGTTCAACGAGAAGAGTATAGAGTGAGTGAGTGAGTGAGTGAGTGAGTGAGTATGGTTTTACACCATTTTTAGATATATTCCAGCAATATCGCGACGGAGGACACCAGAAATGGGCTTCACACATTCTACCCATGTTGGTATTCGAACCCGGGTTTTTGGCATGACGAGCGAACGCTTTAACAACTAGACTACAAACACGGCCCGAGTTCAACGAGAAGGATATAGACGGCGTGAGTCAGTTTGGTTTGACGCCGCTATGAAAAGTATTTAAGTTGAATCGCAGCTTAATGTGGCATAAAAAACATGACGTGGTGCATATCTTAGTTATAACCCACGAGCTCAGGTCGCAGGTCACTGAATACATAGCGACTTCTCGAGAGTTTTGAAGGAAAAACTATCAAAGTACTGAGCACCTACCCGTATCAAAATGCTTGTTCTCCTTGTCATAGAATCCAGAGTAGGATGAGAAGACCACGGGGACCACGGGCACCTGCACTGACAGAAGATTGACACTTACTACATGTCTTAACACCTGCACTTACTAAATGTCTCAACACCTGCACTTACTACATGTCTCAACACCTGCACTTACTACATGTCTCGACACCTGCACTTACTACATGTTTCTACACCTGCACTTACTACATGTTTCTACACCTGCACTTACTACACGTCAAAACACCTGCACTTACTACACGTCTTAACACCTGCACTTAATACACGTCACAACACCTGCACTTACTACATGTCTCGACACCTGCACTTACTACACGTCACAACACCTGCACTTACTACACGTCACAACACCTGCACTTACTACATGTCTCGACACCTGCACTTACTACACGTCACAACACCTGCACTTACTACACGTCACAACACCTGCACTTACTACATGTCTCGACACCTGCACTTACTACACGTCTCAACACCTGCACTTACTACATGTCTTAACACCTGCACTTACTACACGTCTCAACACCTGCACTTACTACACGTCTCGACAAATGCACTTACTTCATGTCTCAACACCTGCACTTAATACATGTCTTAACACCTGCACTTACTACACGTCTCAACACCTGCACTTACTACATGTTTCTACACCTGCACTTACTACATGTCTCAACACCTGCACTTACTACATGTTTCTACACCTGCACTTACTACACGTCTTAACACCTGCACTTACTACACGTCTCAACACCTGCACTTACTACATGTTTCTACACCTGCACTTACTACACGTCTCAACACCTGCACTTACTACATGTCTCAACACCTGCACTTACTACATGTTTCTACACCTGCACTTACTACACGTCTTAACACCTGCACTTACTACACGTCACAACACCTGCACTTACTACATGTCTCGACACCTGCACTTACTACACGTCACAACACCTGCACTTACTACACGTCACAACACCTGCACTTACTACATGTCTCGACACCTGCACTTACTACACGTCACAACACCTGCACTTACTACACGTCACAACACCTGCACTTACTACATGTCTCGACAAATGCACTTACTTCATGTCTCAACACCTGCACTTAATACATGTCTTAACACCTGCACTTACTACACGTCTCAACACCTGCACTTACTACACGTCTCGACAAATGCACTTACTTCATGTCTCAACACCTGCACTTAATACATGTCTTAACACCTGCACTTACTACACGTCTCAACACCTGCACTTACTACACGTCTCGACAAATGCACTTACTTCATGTCTCAACACCTGCACTTACTACATGTCTTAACACCTGCACTTTCTACACGTCTCAACACCTGCACTTACTACACGTCTCGACAAATGCACTTACTTCATGTCTCAACACCTGCACTTACTACATGTCTTAACACCTGTACTTACTACACGTCTCAACACCTGCACTTACTACACGTCTCGACAAATGCACTTACTACACGTCTCAACACCTGCACTTACTACACGTCTCGACACCTGCACTTACTACATGTCTCAACACCTGCACTTACTTCATGTCTCAACACCTGCACTGACCACTTTCTATATCTCAACCCACTAGTGACGACGCTCCAGTGTTCTTGTTCTAGTAGATATTCCCCTTCCCGCTCTACCTACCTTTGCCTGTACTGCTAGATGGAACGCCCCCTTCTTGAAGGGCAGCAGGGATCCCCCGTGGTTCCTCTTTCCCTCGGGGAAGATCCACACCTTGCACTGCAGAGGACATGAATTACATTGTCTTTATAGACTGTCACATCCATAATTGTCTCTGCATAAACATGCACTGTACTACATGTTCTGTGGCACTCATATGGGCTGCGGACGTGCCCTTGTACGTCAACCTCGACTGATAGCGTCTATGTACGTCAACCTCGACGACAGCGTCTCTTTACGTCAACCTCGACTACAGCGTTTATGTACGTCAACCTCGACTACAGCGTTTATATACGTCAACCTCGACTGCAGCGTTTATGTACGTCAACCTCGACTACAGCGTCTCTTTACGTCAACCTCGACTACAGCGTCTCTTTACGTCAACCTTGACTACAGCGTTTATGTACGTCAACCTCGACTACAGCGACTCTTTACGACAACCTCGACTGATGTCGTCTCTGTACGGCAACCTCAATTGATGGCGTCTCTGTACGGCAACCTCAACTGATGGCGTCTCTGTACGGCAACCTCAACTGATGGCGTCTCTGTACGTCACCCCGGACCTATAGCCTTTCTGCACCTTATCCCTGACCTACACTAGTTACGCGTTGACCTTGACCCACCTTGTCTCTGTTGATGATGTCAGCTGTCTTCGCCATGGTGGACATGGCTTTCTCCTTGTCCAGGCGGTCAATGAAAATGCCACCGCTCAACCATATCGCCAGTCCGAAAGGTCCTGCTGCGTACTTAATCTCCTTCTTTGCCAGACATGTACAATTCGGGGGCTTGATAACAGCCATTCCTGGGTGTACAAATATAACATCACGTCAGTAAGCACGTCATCCTAAATGCGCCGCAATGCGCTGAGGAGGGTTGTGTCCCTTGGGCACGCCAGAAACCTATGATTGTTTCGCCCGGTTCGCTCCGAGTATGTTTCTAGGTTTGTCAGCACCACATCTGTGTTCGTGGGTTTCACCGAAGCGGTAAACATCAGTGACCAGCATCACTTCGAGTTTTCCTCCCACATCAAGCTGACACGCCGTGATATAACTGGAATCAGAGACCATATACCGGTATATGGTCTTGCTGGAATACTGTTCGAAGCTGCGTTACACCCAACTCACTAAGCCACATCACCTAACACGCATAATGATGATATTTTACGAGCGCTTTGTATTCTCATAAAATCATCCAGCTGGTTCAGAATACCTTGTTTCACCAACGTGTCACTCATCAATGAGATGTATTGAGATTTGTGATTCACCTATGATACCAAGGGTTATGTGCGAGTCCCTGAGACCCTGAGAGATCTGTGTCTCACACATAAGATCCAGGGAGATCTGATTCACCTTTGAGATGTAAGGCGATCTGGCTCGCCCGTGAGATCTATGGAGATCTGACTCGCCCATGAGATCCAGGGAGATCTGACTCATCCATAAGACAGAGGGAGATCTGACTCGCCCGTGAGATCTATGGAGATCTGAGGTCTAGGGAGATCTGACTCACCCATGAGATCAAGGGAAATCTGAGACTCGCCAATGAGGTCTTGGGAGCCCTGACTCACCCATGAGTTGTGGAGAGATCTGACTCACCCATGGGATAATAGGAGCTCTGACTCACCCATTAGATCCAGGGAGCTCTGACTCACCCATTAGATCCAAGGAGCTCTGGTGGTTGGACACTAGGATGTACGGTTCATCTGAACGGAGGTTCTCCTCATCAATCACTTCCGTATGGATACCAAACGCCTTCCGCACCAGGTTGAACGCTACAGCAGCATAACTGAAATATAGCATCCAGTTATAATAAAGAGTTATGTCAGAGTGATCTACAGCCTTTTAATACACAAACTCACTACTTATTGGTATAACAGATAACAAACACGCTATACCTGATACTACAGAGAACATACACTACCCACTGAGTGAATGAGTGAGTGAGTGGGCGAGTATTCAGCCGCATCTACCGAATGGTACATTTTACACTGTGTAACAGACACCACCCCCTTAAACACCAGGTAACAGACACTACCCCCTTATACCACAGGTAACAGACACTACCCCCTTATTCCACAGGTAACAGACGCTCCCCACTTATACACCAGGTAACAGACACTACCCCCTTATACCACAGGTAACAGACACTACCCCCTTATACCACAGGTAACAGGCGCTCCCCACTTATACACCAGGTAACAGACACAACCCCCTTATACACCAGGTAACAGACACTACCCCCTTATACCACAGGTAACAGACATTACCCCCTTATACCACAGGTAACAGACACTCCCCACTTATACACCAGGTAACAGACACGATCCCCTTATACACCAGGTAACAGACATTAACCCCCTTATACACCAGGTAACAGACACTACCCCCTTATACACCAGGTAACAGACACTACCCCCTTATACCACAGATAACAGACACTTCCCCCTTATACCACAGGTAACAGACACTACCCCCTTATACCACAGGTAACAGACATTACCCCCTTATACCACAGGTAACAGACACTACCCCCTTATACACCAGGTAACAGACACTACCCCCTTATACCACAGGTAACAGACACTACCCCCTTATACCACAGGTAACAGACACTACCCCCTTATACACCAGGTAACAGACACTACCCCCTTATACCACAGGTAACATACGCTCCCCACTTATACACCAGGTAACAGTCACTAACGCCTCAAACCACAGGTAACAGACACTCCCCACTTATACACCAGGTAACAGACACTACCCCCTTATACCACAGGTAACAGACACTGCCCCCTTATACACCAGGTAAAAGACGCTCCCCACTTATACCACAGGTAACAGACACGACCCGCTAATACCAAAGGTAACAGGCACTCCCCACTTATACACCAGGTAACAGACACTTCCCCCTTATACCACAGGAAACAGACACTCCCCACTTATACACCAGGTAACAGACACTACCTGCTTATACCACAGGTAACATACACTACCCTCTTATACCACAGGTAACAGACGCTCCCCACTTATACACCAGGTAACAGACACTACCCCCTTATACCACAGGTAACAGACACTACCCCCTTATACACCAGGTAACAGACACTACCCCCTTTTACCACAGGTAACAGACATTACCCCCTTATACCCAAGGTAACAGACACTACCCCCTTATTCACCAGGTTACAGACACCCCCCCCCCCTTATACCACAGGTAACATACACTAGCCCCTTATACCACAGGTAACAGACACTCCCCACTTCTACAACAGGTAGCAGACACTAGCCCCTTATACCACAGGTAACATACACTCCCTTATACACCAGGTAACAGACACTAGCCCCTGATACCACAGGTAACAGACACTCCCCACTTATACACCAGGTAACAGACACCCACCCCTTATACCACAGGTAACAGACACTAGCCCCTGATACCACAGGTAATAGACACTCCCCACTTATACACCAGGTAACAGACACCCACCCCTTATACCACAGGTAACAGGCACTACCCCCTTATACCACAGGTAACAGGCACTCCCCACTTATACACCAGATAACAGACACTACCCCCTTATACCACAGGTAACAGACGATACCCCCTTATACCACAGGTAACAGACACTCCCCACTTATACACCAGGTAACAGACACTACCCCCTTATACCACAGGTAACAGACACTACCCCCTTCTACAACAGGTAACAGACACTCCCCACTTATACCACAGGTAACAGACACTACCCCCTTATACCACAGGTAACAGACACTCCCCACTTCTACAACAGGTAACATACACTACCCCCTTATGCAATAAGTAACAGACGCTCAAACGCCTTTACATCATGTTTACAGACGCTCCCCACTTATACAGCAGATAACAGACGCTATCCCCTTATACTCTACGAAACGAACACTACCCACTTATATAACAGGTAACAGACACTCCCCACTAGACTAACATCTAGTCTCTGAAATAAACATCGTTTACAGAAAAAAAAAGTTGTTAAATTATAGTTAGAAAATATAATAATAAGGAGCCCAGAGACTTTCTTCATTTTCAGATAATGCAGTAATCTAGACTTGCCAAACCCTATAGGCTTGCATGGGCTGTATTGGATATATTTGTTTCAGGGTCTGCATGACAGACGCTCCCCACTTATACAACAGAGAACAGACTCTCCTCACCAGCAGAGGAGCTTGGAAAACATGGCGGACATACCTGAAGTTGTTTAAGTCTTTCGGTTTGAAGAGAGACAGAATTGTGACCCCTGACCCTATGGCTGTGAGGAGCACGTAGTAGATGGCGAACTTGACGTAGTACTTGAGGGTGTGGCTAATTTGGAGGAGCACCGGGAGAACCAGGAGGAAGACCAGCAGTACCACCCACACATACATTCCGGGGGGTCAGCACGGGGGGCACAATACGGACACACAATTCACGCTTGTAGTTACACGGCTTGCTTCACGCTAGCTGCGCGGGTTGATTCGCCTGTTTCCGCTTCTGTTTTCACTTTCGTTTTCACTTTCCTTTTCACGTCTGTTTTCGGTCAGTTATTTCCTTCACGTAGGGGTTCGATCAGCTATAAGCTTCACAAACTGTACATTCCGTGAGAGCAAATACGGGGAGCCTTGCCGAACTGTACACTTGACAACATTGGTATGTGGGTCACGTGACAGCAAGTGTCCACGAGGCGGATGTTTGTGTGAAGCACGTGAATCTGTTGCAGGAGGAGGTGAGATGCGGGTGAGGTGGGGCTTGAGGTGCAGGTGTGATGTTGGTGAGATGGGGCGGTGGTTACAGCGGTAGAAACCCTCACTTTGACTGAGGGGACTGTACAATCAGCCAGTCAGGTCGGGATGACCTTCTCCCACAGTGCACGCTTCCAGCACTGATATATGACATGTATTGTAACCAGTGTCAGCGAGGCCATCGTGGCGACGTGTGACAAATATCGGTTATCAGCTCATGTAGAGCAAGAAACAGAACGTTGGGAAGTGCGGGGCTCACCAGTAACAGGGGTGTGTAGCAAGGGACATAACACTGGGGAGGGCGGGGCTCACCAGTAACAGGGGTGTGTAGCAAGGGACATAACACTGAGGAGGGCGGGGCTCACCAGTAACAGGGGTGTGTACCAAGGGACATAACACTGGGGAGGTCAGGGTTCACCAGTAACAGGGATGTGTAGCAAGGGACATAACACTAGGGAGGACGGGTCTCAACAGTAACAGGGGTGTGTAGCAAGGGACATAACACTGGGGAGGTCAGGGTTCACCAGTAACAGGGATGTGTAGCAAGGGACATAACACTAGGGAGGACGGGTCTCAACAGTAACAGGGGTGTGTAGCAAGGGACATAACACTAAGGAGGGCGGGGCTCACCAGTAACAGGGGTGTGTAGCAAGGGATAACACTGGGAGGGAGGGACTCACCAGTAACAGGGATGTGTAGCAAGGGACATAACACTGGGAGGGAGGGGCTCACCAGTAACATGAGTGTGTAGCAAGGGACATAACACTAGGGAGGGAGGGGCTCACCAGTAACAGGGGTGTGTAGCAAGGGACATAACACTGAGGAGGGAGGGACTCACCAGTAACAGGGATGTGTAGCAAGGGACATAACACTGGGAGGGAGGGGCTCACCAGTAACATGAGTGTGTAGCAAGGGACATAACACTGGGGAGGGCGGGGTTCACCAGTAACATGAGTGTTTAGCAAGGGACATAACACTGGGGAGGTCAGGGTTCACCAGTAACAGGGGTGTATAGCAAGGGACATAACACTGGGGGGGGGGGGGGGGGGGGGGGGGGGCGGGGTTCACCAGTAACATGAGTGTATAGCAAGGGACATAACACTGGGGAGGGCGGGGTTCACCAGTAACAGGGGTGTTTAGCAAGGGACATAACACTGGGGAGGTCAGGGCTCGACAGTAACAGGGGTGTGTAGCAAGGGACATAACACTGGGAGGGCGGGGCTCACCAGTAACAGGGATGTGTGGCAAGGGACATAACACTGGGAGGGCGGGGCTCACCAGCAACAGGGATGTGTGGCAAGGGACATAACACTGGGGAGGGCGGGGTTCACCAGTAACAGCGATGTGTAGCAAGGGACATAACCCTGGGAGGGCGGGGTTCACCAGTAACAGCGATGTGTAGCAAGGGACATAACCCTGGGAGGGCGGGGTTCACCAGTAACAGCGATGTGTAGCAAGGGACATAACACTGGGAGGGCGGGGCTCACCAGCAACAGGGATGTGAAGCAAGGGACATAACACTGGGAGGGCGGGACTCACCAGCAACAGGGATGTGAAGCAAGGGACATAACACTGGGGAGGTCAGGGTTCACCAGTAACAGGGATGTGTAGCAAGGGACATAACCCTGGGAGGGCGGGGTTCACCAGTAACAGCGATGTGTAGCAAGGGACATAACACTGGGGAGGGCGGGGTTCACCAGTAACAGCGATGTGTAGCAAGGGACATAACACTGGGGAGGGCGGGGTTCACCAGTAACATGAGTGTGTAGCAAGGGACATAACACTGGGGAGGGCGGGGTTCACCAGTAACAGGGGTGTTTAGCAAGGGACATAACACTGGGGAGGTCAGGGCTCGACAGTAACAGGGGTGTGTAGCAAGGGACATAACACTGGGAGGGCGGGGCTCACCAGTAACAGGGATGTGTGGCAAGGGACATAACACTGGGAGGGCGGGGCTCACCAGCAACAGGGATGTGTGGCAAGGGACATAACACTGGGGAGGGCGGGGTTCACCAGTAACAGCGATGTGTAGCAAGGGACATAACCCTGGGAGGGCGGGGTTCACCAGTAACAGCGATGTGTAGCAAGGGACATAACCCTGGGAGGGCGGGGTTCACCAGTAACAGCGATGTGTAGCAAGGGACATAACACTGGGAGGGCGGGGCTCACCAGCAACAGGGATGTGAAGCAAGGGACATAACACTGGGAGGGCGGGACTCACCAGCAACAGGGATGTGAAGCAAGGGACATAACACTGGGGAGGTCAGGGTTCACCAGTAACAGGGATGTGTAGCAAGGGACATAACCCTGGGAGGGCGGGGTTCACCAGTAACAGCGATGTGTAGCAAGGGACATAACACTGGGGAGGGCGGGGTTCACCAGTAACAGCGATGTGTAGCAAGGGACATAACACTGGGGAGGGCGGGGTTCACCAGTAACAGGGGTGTGTAGCAAGGGACATAACCCTGGGAGGGCGGGGTTCACCAGTAACAGCGATGTGTAGCAAGGGACATAACCCTGGGAGGGCGGGGTTCACCAGTAACAGGGATGTGTAGCAAGGGACATAATCCTGGGAGGGCGGGGCTCACCAGTAACAGCGATGTGTAGCAAGGGACATAACCCTGGGAGGGCGGGGCTCACCAGTAACAGCGATGTGTAGCAAGGGACATAACCCTGGGAGGGCGGGGTTCACCAGTAACAGGGATGTGTAGCAAGGGACATAATCCTGGGAGGGCGGGGCTCACCAGTAACAGCGATGTGTAGCAAGGGACATAACCCTGGGAGGGCGGGGCTCACAAGTAACAGCGATGTGTAGCAAGGGACATAACCCTGGGAGGGCGGGGTTCACCAGTAACAGGGATGTGTAGCAAGGGACATAATCCTGGGAGGGCGGGGCTCACCAGTAACAGCGATGTGTAGCAAGGGACATAACCCTGGGAGGGCGGGGCTCACCAGTAACAGCGATGTGTAGCAAGGGACATAACACTAGGGAGGGCGGGGTTCACCAGTAACAGGGATGTGTAGCAAGAGACATAATCCTGGGAGGGCGGGGCTCACCAGTAACAGCGATGTGTAGCAAGGGACATAACCCTGGGAGGGCTGGGCTCACCAGTAACAGCGATGTGTAGCAAGGGACATAACCCTGGGAGGGCGGGGTTCACCAGTAACAGGGATGTGTAGCAAGGGACATAACCCTGGGAGGTCGGGGCTTACCAGTAACATGAGTGTGTAGCAAGGGACATAACCCTGGGAGGGCGGGGTTCACCAGTAACATGAGTGTGTAGCAAGGGACATAATCCTGGGAGGGCGGGGTTCACCAGTAACATGAGTGTGTAGCAAGGGACATAACCCTGGGAGGGCGGGGTTCACCAGTAACATGAGTGTGTAGCAAGGGACATATAACACTGGGAGGGCGGGGCTCACCTGCTATTCGACTTTGTATGTGTTTGTGACGGGTGCCCCCATTGCAGCAGGATAATCGCACCTTTATGATAACACCTGGTGTCATAATAGTGATTCATAAGCACATACGCCTGACATAGTCAGGAATCGCTCAGTTGACTAAACCACTACATATTACGGTCTAATGGATAGATTGTTTGCAAATGTAACTTATCTACCTTTGTCCAGAACATTAAACTCCAGCTCCCTACAAGAACTCTGGGGTCACTGTGGATGAATCTGGTGCCATCAATGACTAGAAGGCTGCTGGACAATGGTAATACAGACAATGCTCAGACCCCTTGGTAACGCACCATCAAGAGGGATGGCACCATTCTCAAACCCCTGGACCACGCATCATCTGGAGGGATGGCACCATGCTCAGACCCCTGGACCACGCATCATCTGGAGGGATGGCACCATGCTCAGACCCCTGGACCACGCATCATCTGGAGGGATGGCACCATGCTCAGACCCCTTGAAGAGTGGATGGTAAAGAGGAGGTCTGTGATTGCCTTGTCGGCCCGGAGTTAGTATACTGTCTCTGTGTGGGGCGCACGCACGCACGCACGCACGCACGCACGCACACCTTTTCACCTCACCAAGTATCTTACTTAGTACACCATTTTTGAAATGCCTCCCAAGCAAGTTATAAATAGCAAAATACAATTCTATAAATCAAAACCCCTTAACTTTGTTTTAAAGATGGTTGTTTTAAGCGAATAATCAATACAAAACTATTTGATGACGGGAAGTTTGTTTATTCTATACACATATGTACACTAAGACCTTGACCTTGTGCAGTGCACATGACGCCTCGTAACTATAACATTACGCACGATGTTCACCGCCACAAGGTACGTGGCAATGTCAAAGGTTGTCAATATCACGTCGCATAACGTTGCTATGACGTCGTTTTGTTGTAAACATCCAGCATCCGTTGTCGTATATCTTCAGTGAGGGCCCCGACGTCGTCCTCAGTCAACCCTGCGGTGGAGACCGGCGGCAGTGCAGTGATGGTGAAACGTCCTGTGGAATATATACACCCTCGAAAGTCGTCGATGATGTCAATCAACACACATAAATAGTCATCGCATACACACACACATAAAACTAGCACATATATACAGTAAATTACGTTTATAACGAACACGCTTATAACGAACTGACGGATATAACCAACTGTGTTTGGTCCTGTCCGTTTGCTCTATATATTCCGTACATTTGCTTTTGTCGTACTCCGGTTATAACGAATTAAAATTAGTGGTCCCTTTGAGTTCGTTATAACCGTAGTTTACTGTAGAGGTTATCACGCGAGTGTCTTTTGGGATAATGACAATAACCAGACATTTGTATAGCGCTAGAATCCAGTTAAAGCAATTGCTCGAAAGCGCTTAAGGAGACAACATTCCACTGGATACATAACAGCAATTGTGACTATGTGAAATCGTGATGATGGCCGAACATATAACACAGGCCCGGGAAGAACTAATCGTATTGTTTGATATTAAGCCTCTGTGAAAAGGTCAGTCAACTGTGCCTTGAATTTTTCTGCTCCTTAAAGGGGAAGTGTACACGCAAAAATCACTTTCTTTCTTTTTCTAAACAAAACGCAATTTTAGAATTAGTTAGTATCTGTGTTTGAAAATATACACTCATTTTTTTTCACAGTGAAAGTAGGAAGCTCACAATAGTGTTAAAATGATATGCCGTTATGAGGCCTTCGTTTTACGAGCGAAATAGGCCTGAGTTATCCCCCTTAGATTATGACGTAATTGGTGCCAATTAAACTGGGTCCCTGTCTATTCTCAACGCAAAAGATATCAAGGACCAGTTTGCGGTAAAACAACATGGTCTACGCCACACTCCGGCGCAGTGGTGACTCAGCATAACACAATTCTGGCTGGCATCTGAGACGCTAGAATCACAAAACTGTACCTACACCACCTGGAGCGGCTCTAACAAAGCATGATGACGTCATAATGTTTATCAATTGGCACCAATGACGTCATATTGCAAGGGGCATAAGCCATGGTGTTTTTGTTATGGAAATAGAACACTTGGTAAATGTGAAAAATATAAATCGTTTTAATGCAAAAAATATGTTAATTAAATATGATGTTTTTATATTTTTGTCTATGACACTTCTATGTTAACACTTTTAATGTGGAAAAAGTACAAGAAAAATTGGTTCATTTCCGTGTGAACTTGCCCTTTAATGTTGGCTGGGATAGAGCAAGGGATCTGCTCTTGAGAAACAATGGTCACCAGACGTATTGAGAGGACACAAAGAAGATGTTGGCCATTTCATGTCAAGGCTCTGGTTGACGTATACTCCTGAACGAGCTCCAGGAGGTAGAGTGAAGAAAGGCCATGTCATGTTTTGAACACCAGCATGGGGATCTTGAACTTTATTCTGCCAATAGGTCTTGTAAGACGGGACTTATATGGTGACATTTTCTTGTTTTTTGGACAAGTAGCCAGGATGTGACAAAACACATGGCTCTACCAAAGTGGCAACTGTCTTGGTGATAATCAACTTTCTAATTTGGCCGAAGTTCCTGATGTTGTAGTGTGCCCTTATGGTGTTTGACACAGAGCTTAGAAACAAGTGAAACATCACATCCAGGTCTCCGGCTTCCAGGTCTCTGGGTCCCATGACCAAGCCCCGAATCCCGACCCTGAGAGTGTTGCCCCGTGAAGATCCGGGGTCTTCAGCAACCCACGCTTGCCGAAGGAGGCGACTATGCTTGTCGTAAGAGGCGACTAACGGGATCGGATGGTCAGGCTCCCTGACTTGGTTGATGCATGTCATCGTATCCCAATTGCGCAGATCAATGCTGATGATGTCAGTCACTGGATTGTCCGGTTAAGACTCGAATATTTACAAACCGACGTCGTATAGCTAGAATATTGCTGGGTACGGCGTTAAACAATAAACAAACAAACAAACTGTCTGAGAGGTGGGAGTATTAATTCGTCTGGCTGACATTGAGCATATGATGAGTGACCGATGTGTCCGAGCAATATCTCCCAGAGGTGTAGTGTAAATAGTCGTAGTCCGGTCCTAGTACAGCTCCTTTAGCCATCCTATAAATATCCCATACTAGGAATAAACACTGTACTTATACAGCCTTGTCGTGATAACCTCCATCTAAATCACATAATGTTATTCTTAAATCCCATTATAGAAAACGTATCTCGCAAATGATACTTTCCCCACACTTACAACAGGTCACAGTCATCCTGTGAGACACACAGAAAGACACATTTATATTGTGGGACACACACATACACATACACGCACACGCACATATATGTATACACGCACGCATGCACACACACACAAACGCACACACAAGGACACAGCCACGCTGTGGGACACACACTACTCACCTGCATCAAGCCGTTTCTTCTTCTCGTAGAAATGATAGCCCGAAAACACCACGGGGACAACTGGTACCTGTCACAGAACAAACATGCAGATTACCCCGGTGACCGCTCACTGCCCTGTACATATATTAAATATACCTGTACTGCTTCCCTGTAAAAGTACTGCTTACCCATATCTCATCTGTGATCTACTGCTTCCCCATATCTCATCTGTGATCTACTGCTTACCCATATCTCGTCTGTGATCTACTGCTTCCCCATATCTCATCTGTGATCTACTGCTTCCCCATATCTCGTCTGTGATCTACTGCTTCCCCATATCTCACCTGTGATCTACTGCTTCCCCACATCTCGTCTGTGCTTGTACTGTGACCACATGTCTCACCTGTGCTTGTACTGTTTCCCTGTATCTCACCTGTACTTGTACTGTGGCCACATGTCTCACCACATATCTCACTTGTCCTTGTACTGTGACCACATCTCTCACTTGTGCTTGTACTGTGACCACATGTCTCACATGTGATTGTACTGTGACCACATATCTCACCTGTGCTTGTACTGTGACCACATGTATCACCTGTGCTTGTACTGTGACCACATGTCTCACCTGTGCTTATACTGTGATCACATGTCTCACCTGTGCTTGTACTGTGACCACATGTCTCACCTGTGCTTGTAGTGTGACCACACATCTCACCTGTGCTTGTACTGTGACCACATGTCTCACCTGTGCTTGTACTGTGACCACATGTCTCACCTGTGCTTATACTGTGACCACATGTCTCACCTGTGCTTGTAGTGTGACCACATATCTCACCTGTGCTTGTACTGTGACCACATGTCTCACCTGTAATTGTACTGTTTCTCAATATCTCACCAGTGCTTGTAGTGTGACCACGTGTCTCAACTGTGCTTGTACTGTTTCTCCATATCTCACCTGTACTTGTACTGTTTCTCCATATCTCACCTGTGCTTGTACTGTGACCACATGTCTCACCTGTGCTTATACTGTTTCTCCATATCTCACCTGTGCTTGTAGTGTGACCACATGTCTCACCTGTGCTTATACTATAACCACATGTCTCACCTGTGCTTGTACTGTGACCACATGTCTCACCTGTACTTGTACTGTTTCTCCATATCTCACCTGTGCTTGTAGTGTGACCACATGTCTCACCTGTGCTTGTACTGTTTCCCCACATCTCATCTGTGCTTGTACTGTTTCTCCATATCTCACCTGTACTTGTTCTGTTTCTCCATATCTCACCTGTGCTTGTAGTGTGACCACATGTCTCACCTGTGCTTGTACTGTTTTCCCGCATCTTATCTGTGCTTGTACTGCTTCCCCATATCTCACCCGTGCTTGTGCTACTTCCCCCTGCCTCACCTGTACTTGTGATGTGGTCTCACATCTCACCTGTGCTTGAACTGCTAGGTGAAATGCTCCCTTCTTAAATGGTTGCAGTCCTTTCTTGGGGTTGCGTTTTCCTTCAGGGAAAATCCAGACAATGACCTAAAAAAACAACTAAATGGTCAGCGAATGATTAATTTACAGCATATTCTTCCTCTTGATGGTGCGAGAGTTAGGGCGAGTGAGGAATAACGCATGTTGATATCACCAGACACACGTTCTTCCTCTTGGCGGTGTGAGGGCTAGGGTGAGTGAGGGATAGCGCATGTTGATGTCACCAGACATACATTCTTCCTATTGACGGTGTGAGGGCTAGGGTGAGTGAAGGATAACGCATGTTGATGTCACCAGACATACATTCTTCCTCTTGACGATGTGAGGGCTAGGGTGAGTGAGGGATAACGCATGTTGATGTCACCAGACATACATTCTTCCTCTTGACGGTGTGAGGGCTAGGGTGAGTGAAGGATAACGCATGTTGATGTCACCAGACATACATTCTTCCTCTTGACGGTGTGAGGGCTAGGGTGAGTGAGGGATAGCGCATGTTGATGTCACCAGACATACATTCTTCCTCTTGATGGTGTGAGGGTTTGGGTGAGTGAGGGATAACGCATGTTGATGTCACCAGACACACATTCTTCCTCTTGATGGTGTGAGGGTTAGGATGAGTGAGGGATAACGCACGTTGATGTCACCACACACACATTCTTCCTCTTAATGCTGTGAGGGTTAGGGTGAATGAGGGATAACGCACGTTGATGTCACCAGACACACATTCTTCCTCTTGACGATGTGAGGGGCAGGGTGAGTGAGGGATAACGCAATTTGATGTCACCGTACACACATTCTTCCTCTTGACGGTGTGAGGGTCAGGGTGAGTGAGGGATACCACGTGTTGATGTCACCAGACACACGTTCTTCCTCTTGATGGTTGAGGGTTAGGGTGAGTTAGGGATAGCGCATGTTGATGTCACCAGACACACATTCTTCCTCTTGACGGTGTGAGGGTCAGGGTGTGTGAGGGGTAACGCACGTTGACGTAACCGAACTGACACAGTACTCACATTCTTCCTCTTGATGGTGCTCGCGGTGTTGACCATGGTGGAGATGGCGCTTTCGTGGTGCATGCGGTCGATGAAGATGCAACCACACAGCCAACACGCAAGGCCGAACGGGCCGGCATACAGCAGCTCCTTCTTCGCAAGGAAGGTACACCTGCGGGGAATCATCATGCTCACACCTGCAATACAAGAACACAGCATCAACTAGCTCACACCTGTAATACAAGAACACAGCATCACCTAGCTCACACCTGTAATACATTTACACAGCATCACCTAGCTCACACATGCAATACATTTACACAGCATCACCTAGCTCACACCTGTAATACATTTACACAGAATCACCAAGCTCACACCTGCAATACAGGTACACAGCATCACCTAGCTCACACCTGCGATACAAGTACACAGCATCACCTAGCTCACACCTGCAATACAAGAACACAGCATCACCTAGCTCACACCTGCAATACAAGTACACAGCATCACCTAGCTCACACCTGCAATACATGTACACAGCATCACCTAGCTCACACCTGCAATACAAGTACACAGCATCACCTAGTTCACACCTGCAATACAAGTACATAGCATCACCTAGCTCACACCTGTAATACATTTACACAGCATCACCTAGCTCACACCTGCAATACAAGTACACAGCATCACCTAGCTCACACCTGCAATACATGTACACAGCATCACCTAGCTCACACCTGCAATACAAGTACACAGCATCACCTAGCTTACACCTGCAATACAAGTACACATCATCACCTAGCTCACACCTGTAATACATTTAAAAAGCATCACCTAGCTCACACCTGTAATACATTTACACAGCATCACCTAGCTCACACCTGCAATACATTTACATAGCATCACCTAGCTCACACCTGTAATACATTTACACAGCATCACCTAGCTCACACCTGCAATACAAGTACACAGCATCACCTAGCTCACACCTGCAATACAAGTACACAGCATCACTAAGCTCACACCTGCAATACAAGTACACATCATCACCTAGCTCACACCTGTAATACATTTAAAAAGCATCACCTAGCTCACACCTGTAATACATTTACACAGCATCACCTAGCTCACACCTGCAATACAAGTACACAGCATCACCTAGCTCACACCTGCCACACAAGTACACAGCATCACCTAGCTCACACCTGCAATACAAGTACACAGCATCACCTAGCTCACACCTGCAATACAAATACACAGCATCACCTAGCTCACACCTGCAATACATTTACACAGCATCACCTAGCTCACACCTGCAACACAAGTACACAGCATCACCTAGCTCACACCTGCAATACAAATACACAGCATCACCTAGCTCACACCTGCAATACATTTACACAGCATCACCTAGCTCACACCTGCAATACAAGTACACAGCATCACCTAGCTCACACCTGCAATACAAGTACACAGCATCACCTAGCTCACACCTGCAATACAAGTACACAGCATCACCTAGCTCACACCTGCAATACATGTACACAGCATCACCTAGCTCACACCTGCAATACAAGTACACAGCATCACCTAGCTAACACCTGCAATACAAGTACACAGCATCACCTAGCTCACACCTGCAATACAAGTGCACAGCATCACCTAGCTTACACCTGCAATACAAGTACACATCATCACCTAGCTCACACCTGTAATACATTTAAAAAGCATCACCTAGCTCACACCTGTAATACATTTACACAGCATCACCTAGCTCACACCTGCAATACATTTACATAGCATCACCTAGCTCACACCTGTAATACATTTACACAGCATCACCTAGCTCACACCTGCAATACAAGTACACAGCATCACCTAGCTCACACCTGCAATACAAGTACACAGCATCACTAAGCTCACACCTGCAATACAAGTACACATCATCACCTAGCTCACACCTGTAATACATTTAAAAAGCATCACCTAGCTCACACCTGTAATACATTTACACAGCATCACCTAGCTCACACCTGCAATACAAGTACACAGCATCACCTAGCTCACACCTGCAACACAAGTACACAGCATCACCTAGCTCACACCTGCAATACAAGTACACAGCATCACCTAGCTCACACCTGCAATACAAATACACAGCATCACCTAGCTCACACCTGCAATACATTTACACAGCATCACCTAGCTCACACCTGCAACACAAGTACACAGCATCACCTAGCTCACACCTGCAATACAAATACACAGCATCACCTAGCTCACACCTGCAATACATTTACACAGCATCACCTAGCTCACACCTGCAATACAAGTACACAGCATCACCTAGCTCACACCTGCAATACAAGTACACAGCATCACCTAGCTCACACCTGCAATACAAGTACACAGCATCACCTAGCTCACACCTGCAATACATGTACACAGCATCACCTAGCTCACACCTGCAATACAAGTACACAGCATCACCTAGCTAACACCTGCAATACAAGTACACAGCATCACCTAGCTCACACCTGCAATACAAGTACACAGCATCACCTAGCTGACACCTGTAATACATTTACACAGCATCACCTAGCTCAAACCTTAAATACAAGTACACAGCATCACTTGGCTCACACCTGTAATACATTTATACAGCATCACCTAGCTCACAACTTTTATACATTTACACAGCATCACCTAGCTCACACCTGCAATACAAGTACACAGCGTCACCTAGCTCACACCTGCAATACATGTACACAGCATCACCTAGCTCACACCTGTAATACAAGTACACAGCATCACTAAGCTCACACCTGCAATACAAGAACACAGCATCACTAAGCTCACACCTGCAATACCAGTACACAAGTACACAGCATCACCTTGCTCACACCTGCAACACAAGTACACAGCATCACCTAGCTCACACCTGTAATACAAGTACACAGCATCACCTAGCTCACACCTGTAATACCAGAACACAGCATCACCTAGGTCAAACCTTAAATACATGTACACAGCATCACCTAGCTCACACCTGTAATACAAGTATGCGGCATCACCTAGGTCAAACCTTAAATACATGTACACAGCATCACCTAGCTCACACCTGTAATACAAGTATGCTGCATCACCTAGCTCACACCTGTAATACAAGTACACAGCATCACCTAGCTCATACCTGCAATACAAGAACACAGCATCACCTAGCTCACACCTGTAATACAAGTACATAGCATCACCTAGCTCACACCTGCAATACAAGTATGCGGCATCACCTTGCTCACACCTGCAACACAAGTACACAGCATCACCTAGCTCACACCTGCAATACAAGTACACAGCATCACCTAGCTCACACCTGTAATACAAGTACATAGCATCACCTAGCTCACACCTGCAATACAAGTACACAGCATCACCTAGCTCACACCTGCAAAACAAGTACACAAGTACACAGCATCACCTTGCTCACTACTATAATACATTTACACAGCATCACCTAGCTCACATCGGTAATACAAGTACACAGCATCAACTAGCTCACACCTTAATACATTTTCACAGTGACACAGCAATACAAGAATACAGTATCACTTAGCTCAGACCTGTAATACATTTACAGTGACACATGGTTCACTCCAGCAATACTGACATCCATTACAGGATTAAAAACGAGGAAGTCTTCTGGACTAGATCGTATTACAAATGAATATCTAAACTCTTCAGCTTCAAAATTATTACCATTTCATACTAAATATTACACAGTTAACACACAGCCCTGACGGACTCACGTGAACACTAAAACAGTTAACACACAGCCCTGATGGACTCACGTGAACACTGAAACAGTTAACACACAGTCCCGACGGACTCCACGTGAACACTGAAACAGTAAACACACAGCCCTGACGGACTCACGTGAACACTGAAACAGTTTACACACAGCCCTGACGGACTCACGTGAACACTGAAACAGTTAACACACAGCCCTGACGGACTCACGTGAACACTGAAACAGTTAACACACAGCCCTGACGGACTCACGTGAACACTGAAACAGTTAACACACAGTCCCGACGGACTCCACGTGAACACTGAAACAGTAAACACACAGCCCTGACGGACTCACGTGAACACTGAAACAGTTTACACACAGCCCTGACGGACTCACGTGAACACTGAAACAGTTAACGCACAGTCCTGACGGACTCCACGTGAACACTGAAACAGTTAACACACAGTCCTGACGGATTCACGTGAACACTGAAACAGTTAACACACAGTCCTTACGGACTCACGTGAACACTGAAACAGTTAACCCACAGCCCTGACGGACTCCACGTGAACACTGAAACAGTTAACACACAGCCCTGACGGACTCCACGTGGGCATTGAAATAGTTAACACACAGCCCTGACGGACTCACGTGAACACTGAAACAGTTAACCCACAGCCCTGACGGACTCCACGTGGGCATTGAAATAGTTAACACACAGCCCTGACGGACTCACGTGAACACTAAACTAATTAACACAAAGCCATAATAACAATAAAATGTATAATGTTGGAACTAAAACAAGATAAAAATCGACTGTCTATTTCAAGTTTGAGCTTGGACAGTGGGCTTGGAATTTGGCGCGTTTCTATATCCGACTGATATGTCATATCTTTTGCGACACAATAGGCGATGCTTGAGTGAATGAGTGAGTTTTGAAAAGTATTCCAGTTATATCACGGCGTGTCAGCTTAATACTGAGGGGAAGGCCCGAATGGATGCATGTCTCAGATGTTTACCACTTTGGTGAAACCCACGAGCACGGGTAGGGTGCTGACAAAGCTAGAAACTAATCAGGGCAAACTGGGATTACAATCCACAAACATAGGTTCCTGACGTGCCGAAGGGACGCAACTCTGCACAGCGCATTGCTGCGCCTCAGACGACATGGCCATGTGTGACCCTAAGCAATGCTTGAAATGTATGTAAGCAGGGTATGAAACTCCCAAAAATTTCAGCTAGACCACAGGACTGGCTACCTGAAATACTTGCCAGCCCTGACCAAAACCTGCCTGCCCACTATAATCATATGTTTCTCTGAAGGGATGGGGATTGCATAATAACAGCTCTACAAACAACATACCATAATTCTTTGCAATAACATTACATATATTCCACTACAATGCGTGATATACTTTGAATGTAAATCACGACGCGGAAAATAAATGCTTGCTTCAGATTGCTTGCTCTTTTACAGAAAGTTCGTACATTTTGTTTTACCAGAAGTAGTATTTTAATAGGGGAAATTATGTTTTCATTTTAAATTGGTTCAACAAAACTAAATTATAAATATTCTGATTAGTAAAACTAGTATCTCATTAGGTAAAGTATGTTTACTCAAAATATTTATGATCTCTAAGACTCTATGTTCACAACATGTCTGTACGACTGCAAAACTTTTAACTAACTGTGATACCTGGTTTATCCACCGTAGCAAACCTTTATATCTTCACAGATGAGAAGAAATTACAATTTTATCAACAAGTAAAGAATTTTTATTATCTTTGATATATCTTATTAGAAAGGATACCCGCACTATGGTGTAGAGTTAACATTTTGGGGAGTAATATACAATGTAGCGTAGCGCAACTGAGACCGGGAACCAGGTTTGTTGTGTAGGAAATTAATAGACCAATCAGCGTGTGCGTCACACGGCGGAGAAGGGAGTTTTCCAGTCGTGTATATTGCACGGCATTGGTCCACTATTTGCACGATATCGTGTATACAGACGGTCCTTTTGTAGCATAAGCACATCGCTAAATTTTAGGTTGTCTAAAAGCTAACAGGGTTTCTTTTTGGTTACATTTTATCATTCATTATACATGTGAATTAATGCTCATCAACGGGAAATATTTAGAATATTTTCACATATGAAATATAAACCGACCATCGGGCAGGGAGATTTGAAAATCTGGCAGCCCGAGTTGAAATCACCCCGTCTCGGACGGTCGGGCAGGCAGGTATTTCGAACACTGATGTAAGTAACGTATAATGATGTAAAACAACAATGTTTGAGTATATACAGCTGCATACTTATACATATTTCTTTAAATCAAGTCGAAAACCCTCTGAAAAACATTGGCTGCAACCCATGGCGCTTCAATCACTATCTTCACTAACACCACGCGTTCGCGTTTCATTTAGTCATGCAAGAATGGAAATAAAAATAATGTGTTTTCAATGTGGAGCTGAGCGTTCGGTTCTAAATTCAATTTATATCTACAGATAACCTAGGCAGTTAAGAAAACACAGTAGATTACCTCCTAAATGATTAAGGTAAGAAAATCCACGGTTTGACAAACTCTTACCCAGAAAGTCAAGATGGCGCCGGTGGGTAAACATTAGCAGAAATTTCTTAGGATTATGGGAATATTTTGGTGGTTTTTTTTATGTTAATTATCTAAAAGAGAAGCTATCTCTGGCGGTTGGACAACGCCTACATACACGCAGGATGTTAAAATATGCGTCTATCCGGTAGCCCGTGGCTTTTTTCTTTGCTTTCCTGCAAGTGAAAACAATCTGGCGACTGGCTAGCCTATTTTTCTTAGATTTGCCCCCTTCTAAAATAGAAAATTTTCGCTTGAAGAATAAGATCAAGTTCCAAAAGCAATAGTTCCTGTTATTCAGCTCTCGCGATCTCGCTAGCTTTGTAGTTCAAACCTTTTTGAAACTTGAAATATTTCCCCTCTCTGCTACCAGATTTCTGCTTGTATTTGGAAGGGAAACTTAACTCTGAATTTGACGAGTTAACAACTGTTTAGCTAGTCCGGCTTGTCAGTACTGATGACAAACTATTTCACACATCGCACTAACGAGTAAGTTGGACACAGCATACCTATGAAGTCGAGCGAGCTCTGGTGGTTAGACACGAGAATATAGGGCTTGTCTGACTCCAAGTTGTGCAGATCTCGCAACTCTGCACGGATCCCCAGCAATAAAGAACAGACACCGAACGGTGGTATCAGATATCTGAAACACACGTAAATATACATAGTAGGTCTCAGTCCACAGCGTGAGCTATGTCGTCTAACATCACTAGGTACACAGTACCAACACAACAATGCTCCATGCATAAAGTGATACACGTTCACGGCACATTTTTTCTCTTAGAAAATGTGAAAAACACGTGCCGCTTGGGAAGCCGAAACTACCCGTGCAATAAGAATATATAAATGATATGGACGACATGTCAGACAGTCAGTTACAGTTTTATTATGGCAGCGGTGGGATATAAAAAAAAATACTGATATATAACACCAAAAAAAACCCAACAACAAAAACCAAAAAGAAAGGCCACGACTGACACTCGAACAACGTGAGCAGGACCTGGGTATGACACAGATTGGAGCCACCCATGCCCACATCGCTAACCTGATGCAACGTTAACGGACAGACCGGACAGACATCAGGCAGACAAACAACAGGCAGACCCAGGGTAACTACGCCCAATGAGACCGGTAATTGCGTGCTTTGCATTTCCGAAATCCATTCCTGATAGTGACGTCAACAGCGATGATTGCCTCTGTAGGGCATATAATTAGTTGACAGACAGTGGCCAGGCCAGGAACAGGGGCTTACAGACATTACAGAGGACAGCGCAACATCATCGTCAGAGTTGGGCCTGGACTATACGTCGTTCGCGTTGACGTGACAGGCAGAGAGTCATCTTTACTGATGAAAGCCGGTTCTGTCTGTTCTGAACTGAAGGAAGACAGCGTGTTTACCGTCGAAGGTGAGTGAGTGAGTGAGTATGGTTTTACGCCGCTTTTAGCAATATTCCAGCAATATCACGGCGGGGGACACCACAAATGGGCTTCACACATTGTACCCATCTCGGGAATCGAACCCGGGTCTTCGGCGTGACGAGCGAACGCTTTAACCACTAGGCTACCCGACCGCCCCCCGTCGAAGGTGAGGACGAACGCCGGCATATGACGTTCAGGAGGTAAGCTCCGTATGGAGGCGGGGGGTTTATTGTGTGAGGAGGAACTGGAGGGCAGGTGAGAACACCATTGGTCATCGTTAACGGAAATTTGACAGCTCAGCGATACATTGGTGACATTCATCGCCCGATTGTCCTACCACTTCTACAACAGTTGCCACGCGGTGTCCTTGTCCATGGTGTCCATGATAACGCCAGACCCCATACAGCCCCAATAGTACAGAGCTTCCTTGCAGCCAACAACGTCAACGTGTTGCCGTGGCCTGCACGCTCCCCAGACATGCCCCCGATAGAACACCTCTGGGATGCCATGGATCGTCGTGTTCAACAGCGACCAACCACATCCTCCAGCCAACCGACAAGAACTGATCAAAGCCCGACAAGAAGAATGGCGACGTATCCCACGTGAGGTCATCAGATGATGAACCGGGGAGTTATTGCGTGTCTTGTAGCAGGGGAATGCCATACACGCTATTAATGTGACGTGTCATTGAACGATTTGAGCGATTTTTAGATGTGTGTGCCCTTTGATTACGTTCTATCACACACATATCTCTACACACTCCATTCTATCACACACATTTCTCTATAAACGTCATTCCATCACACACATATATCTACACACGCTACTCTATCACACACACACACACATATCTCTACACACGCTATTTTATCACATATAGATCTTTACACACCCTATTTTTCACACACATATCTCTACACACGATATTGTATCACACATATCTCTACACACGCTACTCTATCACACACACATATCTCTACACACGCTATCCTTCACAAACATATCTCTACTCGTGCTATTCTATCCCACACATATCTCTACACACGTTATTCTATCCCACACATATCTCTACACACGTTATTCTATCCCACACATATCTCTACACACGTTATTCTATCCCACACATATCTCTACACACGTTATTCTATCACACACATATCTCTACACACGTTATTCTATCCCACACATATCTCTACACACGTTATTCTATCACACACATATCTCTACACACGTTATTCAATCACACACATATCTCTACACACGTTACTTTTTCACACACATATCTCTATTCGTGCTATTCTATCCCACAAGGGGGCACGGGTGGCCCATTCGTCTAAAGCGCCGCGATTCGCTGTGCAGAGTTGCGTCCCTTGGTCACGCCAGAAACCTATGATTTTGGGTTCGAATCCCGGTTCGCCCCGATTATGTTCCTAGGTTTGTCGGCACCATACCCGTGCTCGTGGGTTTCACCGAAATGGTAAACGTCGGAGACCTGCATCACCTCGGGCTTTCCTCCCACATTAAGCTGACACGCCGTGATATAACTGGAATACTGTTAAAAGCGGCGTTACAACCCAACTCACTCACTCTATCACACACATAGTTCTCTACACGTGTTTTTCCATCACACACATATCTCTCTATACGCACTATACTATCCATCACAGATCTCTACACATATATCATAGAATCATGGTTCACCTGAAGTTGTTGGCGTTACCGGGGCTGAGCAACGACAGCAACATCACCACGACAGCAGACGCCGACATAAACGTGTAGTACGTCAAGAACTTCACAAACAGCTGGACCGTGGGCTTCAGTTTACACATCACCCACACCACGCCCAGCAGGCCCAAACCCACCAGCCACATGATGCTCGGTCTGTACAGATGGAGGAACTCTGTGTTGTCGTGGTACCCACCGAGGGCGACGAAGTGTTGTCGTGGTATCCACCGAGGGCGACGAAGTGTTGTATGTCGTGGTACCCACCGAGGGCGACGAAGTGTTGTGTTGTCGTGGTATCCACCCAGGGCGACGAAGTATTGTGTTGTCGTGGTAACCACAGAGAGCGACTTGTGCTGTCGAGGTTTCCACCGAGAGCGATTACTTGTGTTGTCGTGGTAGGCACAGAGAGCGACGACGTGTTGTGCTGTCGAGGTATCCACCGAGAGTAACTACTTGTGTTATAGTGGTAGACACCGAGAGCGACGACGTGTTGAGCTGCCGAGGTATCCACCGAGAGCGACGATGTGTTGTGTTGTCTGGGTATCCACCGAGAGCGATTGCTTGTGTTGTCGTGGTATCCACCGAGAGCGACGACGTGTTGTGCTGTTGAGGTATCCACCGAGAGCGACGACGCGTTTTTTTGTCGTGAACGACGACTTGTGTTGTGTATCAATCGAGAGCGAAGACGCGTGTCAGATGTGATAACGTCTTCAGCCAACAGAGAAACCTCCACCTTCTTCAAACTGCGGGCAGCCAAAGTGGTCCAAGTAAGGAAACCCTTCGAACGATAGTGAATAATAGAGAGCCGAGTTCATAGTCTAGCGACCGTGTGTGACCTGCTACTCATATCTCGACAGACACGCTTATCTGCTGCAGGTGATGTCACGGGGACTCGGCTATCTCTCACACAGTATGACTATATTCAATAGGTATGGCACAAATGTGCCACGCGTAGTCCGAGCTTGTAAATCGGTGTAATAATACAACAATACAACCATGTATATGTCTTGCCTTACGTTATAATCTTCTATGCTATCAGATGGTCGTAAGCTCAACTTATCTGTCAACCCCATCACATGAAACTGTAATCTGTCATCACTCGAATGAACTTCGTACTATTAGTTGTTTCTTTGTTGCCGCACTCAGCAACATTCCAGCTATATGATGGCGGTCTGTATGTAATCGAGTATTGGTCAGACAACATAGAAAGACTTGACCTAATGATTGTAAAATGATGTAATTTTCAACATAATCCTTTTCCATCTTTTTTTAACGGGTGGGGTAACGATGTTGGGAAGATTTTAGACCGGTTTCATAGACGTCCCCTCAGTTGTCCACAGTTGCTATAACGTCATCGTTCGAGTCGTAATAGGTTCCTGGTAGAGCTTTCTTCATGTTTGGCAACAGATGGAAGTCTGACGGAGCCAGATGTTGGGTGCTGAAGGAGTTTAAAGCCACATACGTAGATAGCTATGGCAAGAACTCATATGTGTATTGGCGCATTTAATTGCCCTGGTGGAAGAGAACAACCTTTCCGGATCAGCTTCAAACAAAGATCGTCAAACTGTGTCGTCCACACACTTATAATTTTTTAATTTGAAGTTTACACGATATACTACTTTTCCATTGGACGAGAGGTCGGTCACATGACCCCGAAATTGTTCATAAGTGTATGAAGAAACGTTCTTTCTGAACATTTAGACCCTTTATTCTTGAACCCAAGCTCCGACGTTCATACAGTTTGGCCCTCACTCTATGAAGGTTCATACTCCAATGAACTCGCACAACGTGAAAGTCGATTCTTAAATGAACCACAACTTCGCAGTCATGTAACCGACCTCTCGTCCAATGGAAAAGCTGTATATTGCGTGAACTTCAAATAAAAAGATTATTGTATTACCCATAGTCTTCTAGTCATATACACCTTACTGTATAACCCAAAAGTCTTCTAGTCACATACACCTTGCTGAATAACTACGTTTTCTAGCCATACAGACCTCACTGTATATTTCATACGCTCTCTAGCCATATGCACATTACTGTATATCCCCTACAATCTCTAACCATATATACCTTACTGTATAACTCCGTCTTCTAGCCATATAGACCTCACTGTATATCCCATAAACTTCCAACCATGTACACCTCACTGTATATCCTATAGTCTTCTTGCCACATACACCTTACTGTATACCCCATACACTCTCTAGCCATATACACCTTACTGTATATCCCATACACTCTCTAGCCATATACACGTCACCGTACAACCATAGACTTCCAGCCATAAAGACCTTAACGTGTATCCCATACACTCTCTAGCCATATATACACCTTATTGTATATCCCATACACTCTCTAGCCATATACACGTCACCGTACAACCATAGACTTCCAGCCATAAAGACCTTAACGTGTATGCCATACACTCTCTAGCCATATATACACCTTACTGTATATCCCATACACTCTCTAGCCATATACACGTCACCATACAACCATAGACTTCCAGCCATAAAGACCTTAACGTGTATCCCATACACTCTCTAGCCATATATACACCTTACTGTATATCCCATACACTCTCTAGCCATATACACGTCACCATACAACCATAGACTTCCAGCCATAAAGACCTTAATGTGTATGCCATATACTCTCTAGCCATATATACACCTTACTGTATATCCCATACACTCTCTAGCCATATACACGTCACCGTACAACCATAGACTTCCAGCCATAAAGACCTTAACGTGTAACCCATACACTCTCTAGCCATATATACACCTTATTGTATATCCCATACACTCTCTAGCCATATACACGTCACCGTACAACCATAGACTTCCAGCCATAAAGACCTTAACGTGTATGCCATACACTCTCTAGCCATATACACCTTACTGCATATCCCATACACTCTCTAGCCATATACACCTCACCGTATAATCCATAGTACATGTATTTTATGCATACATCACAAAGCAGTGATAAAGATTCCATAAAATAGTTTATTTGTAACAATTCTCCGTATGCTATAAATGGATCACATGGATATATCTTGCTACTACCATCAAATGTGGAGATAAGACCTGGCAATAAATATGACATATACAAACCAATAATCCAGATATGTTGAGAATGTTCTTGGTCCATTGTGGTTCCTTATTTGTGAGTCTAATTTACCAAATATCACATCATTACACACATGTACACTTCTATCAATTATGTACAAATCACATTGTCTATATACTTCCTTGCACACAGATATGAAATTGATACAGCTAACATTTCTAAGCTACAGTCCACTCAGATACACATGACATGTTGGCATGGTAACATATCTTAGCATGGTAACATGACATATAAGCATGGTAGCATATTAACCCTGGGATCAGAGCCTTCTGTCTGCCACCAGCCACCCAGCTCGGGGGTGAGGAGGCAAGATTGGTGGACTCTAGGGAGACAGTGTAAGGGATCAAGCTTGGAATGGAGGGGGGCAAGGGTCCAGCTATCGAGAGTGGGTAAAGGTACAGGGTCCAGCTATCGAGAGTGGGTAAAGGTACAGGGGTCCATCTAGGGGTGGGGGGTGGGGTGGAGGCAAGGGTCCAGCTAGGGAGTGTGGGTAAGGGTCCAGCTAGGGAGTGTGGGTAAGGGTCCAGCTAGGGAGGATGGTAAGGGTCCAACTAGGGAGGGTGGGTAAGGGTCCAGCTAGGGAGTGTGGGTAAGGGTCCAGCTAGGGAGGGTGGGTAATGGTCCAGCTAAGGAGGGTGGGTAAGGGTCCAGCTAGGGAGTGTGGGTAAGGGTCCAGCTAGGGAGGGTGGGTAAGGGGTACAGGGGGTGGTGGGTAAGGAGTACAGGAGGACGAGCTGTGAGGTAACACAGGCTTAACTTACACACACATACAAACTAGAGGAGAATGCTCCCCTTCATATACAAACTGGCTGATAATCAGACATCTACAAAAAAAGTGAGGGAGGATTTTACCCTGTCAAGAACTTTTGTTCACGTGAGCTAACACAAATTTAAATATCTATAAGTTAAATATTGAATTATAATTGGGACCATACTTCCATTGATGTCTGTGGACAAACAGCGAAATGTTATTCCAGACCTTGTTAGCGAGGATAACTTCTGTCCGATGCTGTTGGGCAGGTCTACATAAACGTTACAGCAAGATCACTCTACGCCCATAATTTGTCAATCCAAATATCTTTTTCTGATGATTTTCCGAGAAACGGAACATCCGAATTAGGAGATTTCCTTGCAAAAAACATACGGATTCTAATCAGATCTCTGTAAGTAACACAAAAAGTGTAAGAAAACAGTTTGATTTCAGGAAGAACATATCATCACTAGACAAGGTGGACTAGTACCCTTAGAACCCTACTGGCAGTACCCTGATAATTCCAGAATCTGACTTCCAACACAGAATCATAATAGGCTGATTAGATTAATCAAGATTAGAATGCTTCATCAACTGTATTCCTGTGATGCACCAAGACAGGTGCCTGCTTGTCATAAGGACATGTGGAGACACAGAAACTGACTGTTCGAGAGACAAAGTCCCAGTCTGCAGCAAACATGAACAATATGATTCAAGGTACCGGTACTATACATCTTCCTGATGTAAGAGACTTAACTGACTGTAAAAGTCCAGTTTCCACCCTTGCTGAACTAGGCTGGGATTAAGGAGCTATATTTGGGCTGGACTAACAAGTCTATGCATAGTCCAATTAAAATCGCATAAAGAAATCAATATCCAGTTCGTAAACAACATGGATTACAACATGCACGTTTTAGTTGACTGCAGGATTTGTAATGCATGTGTCCTATCAACTTGTCATCAAGATATATTTTCCAAATCTCTTCCTGTTTTAAATCAAGGTGCTCACGTAATTTAATGCACTTCGTGGGGTAAGACCCGTTTGATTACAATATAAATCTTAATCATCGATCAGATCTTGTTGACTAGGAGCCACCATTTTGTATGAAGCAAACCCAAGTGATATGAGTGGTGAAAGGGACTTAATTCCTAATAGCCACCATTGGTGCTACGATCAAGCCCAGGAATTCCAGTCTAGTTCGGCGCTGTACACCACAGTTTAACCATATCAATAATGACCTGCATCCCCAAGGTAAAACTTTAATAAAATGCACAAAAGCACTGTTCCTCACCTGGAAAATTCACACCGAGCTGAAAAGATCTACATAATGTAATGTTCAACAAGTAAATGTCGTATCAAATGGCTATGTACTGCACATGGTGTACTCCACATGGAGTAAGAGGACAGCATGCTTACATAAAATTCTCAAAACTTGAACAATAATATTAGTATCACCCATTTACAAAAGTATTTTCCGAGATCATTAACAATGGCAAAGATTGTGTTCAGATTATCAAACCCAAAAGAAACTTGAAACCTGCCTTACATTTAATGTCTACATTTTGATTACAGTGACATAACTCATGTATATACCGGGTACTGAACAAAAAGTCAGGGATCATGAATATTTTTGGGGATGTTTATTTGTAGTGAAGACTGATCAAAATTATCCCCCAAAATATTCATGATCCCTAACTTTTTATATTAGTTTATATCTATCAGCCTCTCATTCAACATCCGGTTTGATGTTGATGATTGCGAGCCTCTCACTGAACAGTGAAGGAAGCAATTCCACTTCAGATCAATGATACAAATAATAGCAATCATGTGTAAATGAGGATTTGCTTCTAGAGTGGAGTTTGTCATGAAAAACATCATATATAAGTCCAGCAGAATAAAGCTGTAGCATAAAATACAGTATAAACATGCAATGGCATGTAGTGGAAAGCACACGTATTGTACTAAATCTTCCAATCAAGAAAGTTTGAGTTAAATGAATTCTAAAATCAGTTATCCATCTGAGTTTTATGAAGTTTGACAAGTTGCTGCAGATACTACTTGATGGTAGTTGTGACTCTGGGTTGACGTGACTCTAATGATGTTTGATTGAAGGCATCCAGCATTTGCTGCCTGACGTCCTCGGTGAGCCCCGCCACGTCGTCGTCCGTCCTGCCCGCTGTCCTCACGGGGGGAAGACATGTGATGATGAATTTACCTGGGACACACAATAACAATGACATGTCTTACGCTGCAACATTCCAGCTGTAAACAAGCATGAAATACTCATATCCCCCGCAATTATGACATGTCCACCAGGCACCAGTTCACTACTAGACCTATCTATGCGCCACGTTTGGTGAAGAAATGTCATACGGTTTTCAAGATCTGCTCCATTTTCAGTCTAAGTCAAAGTCGTTGTCATGGAATCTCGAAATTTTTTATTTTTTTAAAATCCCAAACCATCAAAAGGCACCAGTTCACCACTAGACCTATCTATGTGCCAAATTTGGTAAAGATATCTCTCACAGTTTTTGTGTTCTGATCCATATAGTGCCCCTGACAAACTAGTGATTGATATCACGATCAGCAACATTGGGGTACGATTACACGCAATCAACCAAGTTACTGAACTGGCCACCTGATCCATATAGTGCCACCAACAAGCATAGGGACTTCATTTATCAAGGTTGTTATATAAACATTATCATGAAGAATACCCGAGACCCATTTTATTTGACATATACTTACATTTGATTTGACAGAAACTTACATAAAGGTCAGGCCATTTAATTTGACGGAGACTTTATTTGATTCGAAGGAGCTTAGCACAAAGGTCAGGTCATTTATTTTGATAAATACTTACATATATAGTCGTCATTTGATTTGACAGAGACTTGTAAACAAAACGGTCAGGTCATTGATTTAGTGGCTAAATACATAGAGGTCGTTTCATTTGATATAATGGCTACTTACATAAAGGTCAGGTCATGATTTAGTGGCTACTTACCTAAAGGGAGTTTTTATTTGATTTGACAGCTACTTACATAAAGGTCAGTTTATTTTAATGTACCCCAAAAAATCCCCTGTGGTACACACGAGTTACAGCAGGTGCAAATCCTCTAGCATCTATAATAAGCATGACATTGAGAACACTCCTTGCGACATAAGTCGAGGTTTGAGCAAACATTTACAGAGGTTCAAATTAGGCTCAAGATCAAGTTATATGATTAGAAACTGAAAATATCAAATAGAGGTTATCATGCGAGTGTGTTTGGGGATGGTAAATATCCTGCATTAGGAATAAACATTGTATTTAGCGAGCCTTGGCGAGCTAAATACATAGTGTTTATTCCTAATGCAGGATATTTACCATCCCCAAACACACAAGCGTGATAACCTCTTTATCATATAATGTCATTCTTTAATTCTGTGCTTCAAAATCGCTTTCCCTCTCTCACAAACAATACCGAAACATTGCAAGTTTTCCTGGAATGCGCGCATTAATATTTATTACGTCTGAGGGTAAGTGATGTGTCAGTCGGACAGTGACAGTAGCCAATATAGTTCCAACTGAAATCTCTTTCTTATACAGTGGCGAAGCAACATATACGCAATGGGTGTTTTTAATTGCCTTTTGCGGCAATCCATCGGTCTGTCTGCTGGAGTAACTGCCCTTTGTCAAAGGGAAGCTACTCTAATCCTAGTCTATGAGACGTCACAGCCACGGTCAGACGTTGTTGACAGTCGGTCTGTCCTGTCCTGTTAAGAAGTGTAGTCAGATGTACACACAGCGACAAAACGAAACAAGGTAACAATTTAAACATATTTCAGCCAAATCCAACTCTTTTAATTTGTGGAGAAAGGTTCAAGCCGCAGAGGACTACAAGCACAGATATGGCTACTGATCCCACTTGGCTAGGCCTCGTGGCTTCGCAAAATTGTGTCGAAATTTATATCTTCAAAGTTGCCAAAACTTATAAAATGCCTTAGCTACGTCACAGTTAGACACTGATTTTCAGTATATTAGACTGTTCTTTTGATAATGAAAGCAATTGTCTCTGTAGTTTCTCCAGATTCCCGATGGTTAATTCTGACTCGATCCCCAAATGACGAGGACAACGCCATGTTTGTTTATAAACAGTGAAAGTAGTCCCTACTTGACCTTTGATATTTGCATCTCTATCCGCATATGACCCCAACGGATATCGTTTTCATCCGTTGGCTTTATCCTGCCGAGAAACCTACCCATTATATGATAAAGCAGATTACGTGTCAAATCTCTTGTCATGTTTGCCTCCTAGTCTCTACTTACCTGTGTCAAATCTCTTGTCACGTTTGCTGTAGAAGTCCGAGTAGGAGGAGAAGACAACAGGTACAACTGGAACCTACAATACAAGGAGAGTGGTAAACATGTTAAACACAAGCACAGATAAAACACAAGCAAAATGTACAACACAGAGTGTACAATACAAGCAGGGTACAAGACAGAGTGTGCAATACAAGCAGCGTGTACCGTATTTTCTTGAGTATAGTGCGCACCCATGTATAATGCGCACCCTCCTCTAGCAGGTTCAATATTTGGGAAAAAAAGAAATTTGAATATTCTGCGCAGAAAAAATTTACACTGTACCCTTTCAGCCAAGTCCAGCAAACAAATGGGTGCTGAGAAACTTCGTCAGTACAAATTCGAAATTTGAGATAAAAAATCACCAGACATGTTTATTTACCGTTTAAATAGTATTTATTGTTCTGCTAGGCATTGTTTTATATCTAGGGATTAAGATTACCTCGTGTATTTTCTCGTAAACTAAGCCGGAAACAGCAATCAGCTGTACACACGTTTTCTTGGAATCGACTGGTGATTCGGTCAAGACACACCCAATGATATAACTTTATAGGATTTTTAATGCAAGGATCGGCAACAATTGTATCTGAAACTATTTTATTTATCAGGAATAATATATTCCATTATTTTCTTAATTATATGCAGTCTTTACTAAACATATTTAAAATAATAATAACCCTAAGCGAAGCAGCTGATCGCTATTCCCGGGTATTATTTTTTTACATGGAACATGTCATTTATGATATATGTATCCATTCTCTGTCAACTAAAGTTCGTTTCAAGGCGTCAGTATCGGTATTCTGACCGTGGTTGCTGTTAATAACTGTGAGTTGTGCGATCTTCCGATCGCTTCACACACGATTTCGCCGAAATTAATAAAAACAATATTATAAGTAATTTTGAATAAAATTAATGAAATAAGTTACAAACATGAGTCCAGATATACAAAGAACACTTTTTTTTACAGCCAGTGTAAGTACATGAATAATTTGCGAACTTCAGTATGGATTTGTTGACATGGTATTTCCGGTGTTACGTGCTCACAGTAATGTCTTTCCATGGGGGAAAAACATCAAAACTCATTCATTCGTGTATAATGCGCAACCCCTTCTACACAGCTGTGTTTTTTGGAAAATAAAAGTGCGCACTATACTCAAGAAAATACGGTAAATCACCAAGTGAACATTACAAGTGTGTGTACGTGTGTGTGAATACCCCTCTCAGACACAGTATACAAACTTCAGCAGAGGTATTATGTCTACAGAGGAGGCAGATTCTCACCTGGGCCTGCACAGCGAGGTAGAAGGCGCCTTTCTTGAACGGTAAAATGGAGCCTGAATGGTTGCGGGTACCCTCAGGAAAAATGAACACTTTCACCTGTAAGAAGCAGAATAAACCTTTAGTTCATAGTTAGAAACAATGGTTAATCTCATGTACTGAGAGAAGAGATATAAGTCTATGATTATACATCATCAGGGTCTCGTTACCAGTGAGTAAGTGAGTGAGTATGGTTTTGCGCCGCTTTTAGCAATATTCCAGCAATATCATTGTGGGGAACATCAGAAATGGGCTTCACACATGATACCCATCTCGGGAATCGAACCCGGGTCTTCGGGATGATGAGCAAACGCTTTAACCACTAGGCTACCTGACCACTCCATCTTGTTACCAGAGTCTTCAACAGCATCTACGTTTCCAGACAGAGTCTGTGTCACCAGAGTCTATGTCATTAGAGTCTACATCACCAGCATCACCAGAGACTAGACCACCAGTCTACATTACCAGTCATTAGAGACTATGTCCCAAAATACTACATCACCAGAGTCTACGTCATTAGAGATTAGCACACCAGAGTTTTAGCTCTACATAAAGAGTCTACCAGAGTCTATGTGACCAGAGACAATGTCAGCAGGGTCTATGTCACCGGTGATTATGTCAAAAGTATCTACTCCACCATAATCTATGTCACTTGTTTTCAGTGGTTTTTGTCACATATAATTTCATGCATCAGTCAGAGTGCCTGACATAGTGGACCCATCAGTTTTCATATTTACATTGTTTTTATTGATGAAGTCTGCAGTATCTTTGATTGTGCTGACAGCCCGGTCATGGTTGAGACGATCAATGAAAACTGTTCCACACAGCCATGCTGCCAGTCCAAATGGCCCAGTGTACATCAGCTCCTTCTTAGCCAAGCTGGTACAACGTGACGGCCATATCTCCATCATACCTGCAACACAGTCAGCTTACAGCTGTGGCACAAGTCAAAATACTTCCTCCATTCAGCATATGTTCAGTTACAGGAAGGAATTCAAGTCATCATATGTCCTCCATTCATCCACCTCCATGGGTAATATAAGTAGACATAGAGTCATATACCCTTGGAATACAAGGACATACGGGGAGTTATACAATATTATACAAGGAATAATGCAAAGGCTTACAATTACATGGGGTAAAGCAAGGACACACAGTGAGTAATAGTGTGTGTTTTTGTTGTTTGACGCCGCACACAGCATTATCATGATTATTCCAGCTATATGACCAGATGACAGCAGTCTGTAAATAATCAAGTCTGGACCAGACAATCCACTGATTGGCATCATGAGCATTTATCTACATAATTGGGAAAAAATGACATGCACCAACCGAGTAAGCATGTCTAACAATCTGATTCCATTAGTTGCTTCTTACAACAAGTATAGTCATCTTTTACGACAAGCATGGGTTGCTGAAGACCTATCCCACCCCAGATCTTCACGGGTTACAGGAGTTATATATAGGGTAATACAAAATACAAGGACATACAGGGAGTTATACACAGGTAATACAAAGACATACAGGGAGTTATACATGGGTAATACAAGGACATACAGGGAGTTATACACGGGTAATACAAAGACATACAGGGAGTTATACACGGGTAATACAAAGACATACAGGGAGTTATACACGGGTAATACAAGGACATACAGGGAGTTATACACGGGTAATACAAAGACATACAGGGAGTTATACACGGGTAATACAAAGACATACAGGGAGTTATACACGGGTAATACAAAGACATACAGGGAGTTATACACGGGTAATACAAGGACATACAGGGAGTTATACACGGGTAATACAAAGACATACAGGGAGTTATACACGGGTAATACAAGGACATACAGGGAGTTATACACAGGTAATACAAAGACATACAGGGAGTTACACATGGGTAATACAAGGACATACAGGGAGTTATACACGGGTAATACAAAGACATACAGGGAGTTATACACGGGTAATACAAGGACATACAGGGAGTTATACACGGGTAATACAAAGACATACAGGGAGTTACACATGGGTAATACAAGGACATACAGGGATTTATACACAGGTAAAACAAGGACATATCTAACGGTAATAGATGACTCACCAAAGAAGTCAAGAGAGCTCTGATGGTTGGACACCAGGATGAAAGGTTTATCTGACTCAAGGTTTTCTTTTCCTCGGAGTTCGATCTCAATTCCAAACAACTTTCGGATGTTCTTGATAGCAGAGCTGACATACCTATCAAACACACACATCACATATCTTTATAATGTACAATAAAACACATCTGTGTTTTAATCGACATGGGACAATCTCATTAATATCAGATCTTTCTCTTGACATCTCCCTAGCCAGGGCAGGTGTTACGATTTATGTTGCAGGGTACACACACACCCTTCACCTTCGAACCCCTTCATTGTATATTTGCAGTGTATACACACACACACATACACATACACACACGCACATTCGTTATATATATTGCTAGGTACACACACAAATCATTTATGTAGGTCAGGGTTAGGGCAACCTTACATCCCAACACAGGAAAAAATTGAAGCAGCCGTTACGGGTGAAAATCTTTCCTCGGTCTATTCCTGCCCGGACTAAATTTCCAGCTGAACTGATCATCGTTAATACAATCACGCCCTCAGGTGCGCTAACAGTGTCCTCGGCGATAAGCTAATGTAGGAAGACTTGTCGAGTGTTGCAAACATTGCTATAGAGTAGGTCTCCAAATTCATGAAAGGAAAACAAGGAAATTTTGAGTGAAGTCGTCGCACACAAAACACCTCATTTTGTTATCGTCTGCTGCGTTCAGATGTAAACATTCATTGGCTAACCTGTAATTCGTGACATCCTTCGCTCGTGGAAGACTCAGGAAAATCACAATGAATGCCAAAACATTCACAATGACATAGTAGAAGAAGAACTTGGCATAATACTTGAACGTGCTGTTCAGCTCGTACAGAATGGGTAGTATCAACAAGAATCCGATGACAACCCACTGCAATACGTCCAGCGCCATTTCCACCAGTTTTCACGCGTGACAAAGGTTATTGCCGTAAAGTGGTCTGATGTAACGTAAAGCAAAACGGTAGTGTCGCAAACGCTTACAGGCACCTTATTGGTCAAACCAACGTGATTTTTTAATGTAATCCTTATGTTAAAAGACATTAAAATAATACTTTTGTTATTTACTCTTCTGTGGGTCTGCGGACAGTCCCACAATATATATATATATCCGTTCTTGGGTCAAGCATAGATCTAGTGTTGCGAAGTCAGATAATAGAAATTATGCGATTTGAGAATTTTCGGGTTCAGCCCTGGGAGGCTGATCTCTATTAAAAAAAAGGTTGCCGAATGACCAACCTCGCTCTCCAAAGCCGTTTGCTTCTAGCCTGGATGCACAAACTACGACCATTAAAGGGCGATCTGGCCCTGGACTTTGATTCAAAAATCCCCTATACTTTATTTGTCTGCTGCATGGTTCCTATGTTATTATATATACCAATTTAACAGTCAGTGACGGATTACCCTGGTTACACATACAGGCTCCTCCATGTACAATGTCAAGAACAGGACACACAGGAATATTGCTGACTGAAGGCCCCCGTAATATAGCAGGAATATTGCTGACCGCAGGCCTCCGCGATGCAACTGGAATATTGCTGACTACACGCAGACCGCCATGATAATAGCTCTAATATTTCTGACTGCAGGGCGATGTATATAGCTCGAATAATTTTTACTGCAGGACTATGTGTATATATATTAAAGGCATATTGCTGACTGCGGCGTAAAACAACAAACTGGTCCTGCGTTTTTCAAATAAAAAGAAATAAAGTTTCTTTTGGTTTATTTTTGTGTGCTGATATTATTTTTCATTTTCGTCTATAAGTCTGCTCTCCCTGTTTCGAGGCACGCCCCGTGGCGGGATGACATACTTCTCATGACACACTTCTCGTCAGGGGAGCTAGATACATGTGGTATTTCATAGCAGTGTAATCCTGTGCATTTTGTTCACTTTCTGCAGGGAAATAAGACACGTAATTATGTTCTTTGTTTTCTATGAAAAAAATACGTATACACATGTTTACACTGAAAACGTAAACAAAGAATGATGTCGAATCCCCCTTATGGTAGCCCCTGAAATAGATATATCGAACTGATAGGTAGGTCTTGCCAACAACTCCCATGCTAATTATGATATGCTCAACGTTCGTGTTGTGTGACTGCACTAACTTTGTCTGAAGAACCTCGTTGGTGATCATTTGGCTAAATCTAGAGATTTTACGTGCGTTTCAAAATAGTGATGTGCGGATGTTCGCTGTGCAACCACAACACAATCTCACCCTTCCCGTGTCCATCTCTCCCTTTACATTTCGTTCTTTTCCTGTCCATGTCGATATGTCCATTCCTATGTCGACCTCTCCCTTCCCATGTCGACCTCTCTATTCCTTTGTTGATCTCTCTCGTCTCATATCTATATCACTCCCTTGTCGATCTCTCCCTTCTCATGTCAATATCCCCCTTCATGTGTCGACCTCTCCCTTCCTATGTCGAACTCTCCCTTCCCATGTCGACCTCTCCCTTCCTATGTCGACCTCTCCCTTCCCATATCGACCTCTCCCTTCCCATGTCGACCTCTCCCTTCCCATGTCGACCTCTCCCTTTCCATGTCGACCTCTACTTTCCAAAGTCGACCTCTCCCTTCCTGTGTCGACCTCTCCCTTCCCATGTCGACCTCTCCCTTCCCATGTTGACCTCTCCCTTCCTATGTCGACCTCTCCCTTCCTATGTCGACCTCTCCCTTCCTATGTCGACCTCTCCCTTCCCATGTCGACCTCTCCCTTCCTTTGTTGATCTCTCTCGTCTCTTATCTATATCCCTCCCTTGTCGATCTCTCCCTTCTCATGTCAATATCCCCCTTCATGTGTCGACCTCTCCCTTCCATGTCGACCTCTCCCTTCCATGTCGACCTCTCCCTTCCCATGTCGACCTCTCCCTTCCCATGTCGACCTCTCCCTTCCTTTGTTGATCTCTCTCTTCTCTTATCTATATCCCTTCCCTTGTCGATCTTTCTCTCAGCATGCTGATCTTCCCTTTCAAATGTCGACTCTCTCCTCCCCTTGTCAATCTCTCCTTTCCCATGTCGACCTCTCCCTTCCCATGTCGATCTCTCCTCTCTCATGTCAATATCACCCTTTATGTGTCGACCTCTTCCTTCCCATGTCGATCCTCCCTTCTCATGTCAATCTATCCCTTCCTTTATCTGTTTCTCGATTTAGTGATGTCGGTGATTCTTTTATGATATTTTAAAATCGAATTTGTGATGTCTTAAAATAATGGTGATGTTTGTTTGCTTGTTTGTTGTTTAACGCCACACTCAGCAATATTACAGCTTTATGACGGCGGTCTGTAAATAATCGAGTCTGGACCAGACAATCTGGTCATTGACATTATGCGCATCGATCCAGGCAAATGGGATACGATGACATGCATCAACCAAGTCAGCAGGCCTGACCAACCGATCCCGTTAGTCGCCTCTTACGGCTAGCATGGGTTACTGAAGATCTATTCTAACCCGGATCTTCACGGTTTAAAAAAATGGTGAATTTTAAGATAATAATAATGAGAATGTGTGACATTATTAATTCATTTTTGACTTATCTCCCTTGATTGGAGTGTTGTATTAGAAGGGGAGATTAGGAGTGTTATATATTTGCCAAATGTCATGTTAGCTTATCAGATGACAAAATGTATATTATTACTTAAAAAGCACAAAGAAATAAACCCATCAACTTATATGCGTGACCTGACAGATAATAATATTGTTGCCTAGATGCTAATATATTGTGGTGTGCACCAAGATGTTAAGAAATCAAAACACGGGTTTCAAATGATCAATAATTCTTTTACTGATATCAATGAATCAAGTTATTGATGTCATAAAAAACGCGATACGCGTGCAGCACGTGCGCTGTCGTGTAGAAGTGTCAGTCACGTGGAAAATATGCTGCAGATGCACGGTAACGGTGTGTTTACGTGTACGGCGGGAGTCACCGTCTTGGTCGGGAAATGTCTGGTTCTACAGGGGGATATCGTCAACACCAAGGAGGGGTGAGTTGTATGTTATTGTCTGGTTCTATAGGGGAATACCGTCAACACCAGGGAGGGGTGAGTTGTATGTTATTGTCTGGTTCTACAGTGGGATATCTTCAACACCAGGGAAGGGTGCGTTGTATGTTATTGTCTGGTTCTACAGGGTGATATCGTCAACACCAAGGAGGGGTGAGTTGTATGTTATTGTCTGGTTCTATAGGGGAATACCGTCAACACCAGGGAGGGGTGAGTTGTATGTTATTGTCTGGTTCTACAGGGGGATATCGTCAACACCAGGGAGGGGTGAGTTGTATGTTATTGTCTGGTTCTACAAGGGGATATCGTCAACACCAGGGAGGGGTGAGTTGTATGTTATTGTCTGGTTCTACAGGGGGATATCGTCAACACCAGGGAGAAGGTGAGTTGTATGTTATTGTCTGGTTCTACAGGTGGATATCGTCAACACCAGGGAGGGGTGAGTTGTATGTTATTTTCTGGTTCTACAGGGGGATATCGTCAACATCAGGGAAGGGTGAGTTATATGTTATTTTCTGGTTCTACAGGGGGATATTGTCAACACCAGGGGAAGGTGAATTGAAAATAATGTTTTGGTTCTACACGGGGGTATTGTCAACACAGGGGCCGGGGAGGGTGCGTTGTATGTTATTGTCACGTTCAAAAGGGGGATATTGTCAACACCAGGGAAAGGCGCGGTGTATGTTATTGTCTGGTTCTACAGGGGGATATTGTCAACGCCAGGAAGGGGTGCGTTGTATGTTATTGTCACGTTCTAGAGGGGGATATCGTCAACACCAGGGAAGGGTGACTTTTATGTTATTGTCTGGTTCTAGAGGGGGAAATCGTCAACATCAGGGAAGGGTGCGTTGTATGCTATTGTCTGGTTCTACAGGTGGATATTGTCAACACCAGGGGAGGGTGCGTTGTATGTTATTGTCTGGTTCTACAGGGGGATATTGTCAACGCCAGGAAGGGGTGCGTTGTATGTTATTGTCACGTTCTAGAGGGGGATATCGTCAATACAAGGGAAGGGTGCGTTGTATGTTATTGTCTGGTTCTACAGGGGGATATCGTCAACACCAGGGAGGGGTGCGTTGTATGTTATTGTCTGGTTCTACAAGGGGATATTGTCAACACCAGGGAAGGGTGCGTTGTATGTTATTGTCTGATTCTAGAGGGGGGTATTTTCAACACCAGGGGAGGGGTGAGTTGTATGTTATTGTCTGGTTCTAAAGGGGAATATCGTCAACACCAGGGAAGGGTGAGTTGTATGTTGTTGTCTGAGTCTACAGGGGGATATCGTCAACACCAGGGAAGGGTGACTTTTATGTTATTGTCTGGTTCTAGAGGGGGATATCGTCAACACCAGGGAAGGGTCCGTTGTTTGCTATTGTCTGGTTCTACAGGGGGATATCGTCAACACCAGGGGAGGGGTGAGTTGTACGTTATTGTCTGGTTCTACAGGTGGATATTGTCAACACCAGGGGAGGGGTGAGTTGTATGTTATTGTCTGGTCCTACAGGCGGATATTGTCAACAACAGGGGAGGGGTGAGTTGTATGTTATTGTCTGGTTCTACAGGGGGATATCGTCAACACCAGGGAGGGGTGAGTTGTATGTTATTGTCTGGTTCTACAGGTGGATATCGTCAACACCAGGGAGGGGTGAGTTGTATGTTATTGTCTGGTTCTACAGGGGGATATCGTCAACACCAGGGAAGGGTGAGTTATATGTTATTGTCTGGTTCTACAGGGGGATATTGTCAACACCAGGGGAAGGTGAATTGAAAATAATTTTTTGGTTCTACACGGGGGTATTGTCAACACAGGGGCCGGGGAGGGTGCGTTGTATGTTATTGTCACGTTCAACAGGGGGATATCGTCAACACCAGGGAAAGGCGCGGTGTATGTTATTGTCTGGTTCTACAGGGGGATATTGTCAACGCCAGGAAGGGGTGCGTTGTATGTTATTGTCACGTTCTAGAGGGGGATATCGTCAACACCAGGGAAGGGTGACTTTTATGTTATTGTCTGGTTCTAGAGGGGGAAATCGTCAACATCAGGGAAGGGTGCGTTGTATGCTATTGTCTGGTTCTACAGGTGGATATTGTCAACACCAGGGGAGGGTGCGTTGTATGTTATCGTCTGGTTCTACAGGGGGATATTGTCAACACCAGGGAAGGGTGAGTTGTATGTTATTGTCTGGTTCTACAGGGGGATATCGTCAACACCAGGGAAGGGTGACTTTTATGTTATTGTCTGGTTCTAGAGGGGGAAATCGTCAACATCAGGGAAGGGTGAGTTGTATGTTATTGTCTGGTTCTACAAGGGGATATCGTCAACACCAGGGAAGGGTGACTTTTATGTTATTGTCTGGTTCTAGAGGGGGAAATCGTCAACATCAGGGAAGGGTGCGTTGTATGCTATTGTCTGGTTCTACAGGGGGATATTGTCAACACCAGGGGAGGGTGCGTTGTATGTTATTGTCTGGTTCTACAGGGGGATATTGTCAACACCAGGGGAGGGTGCGTTGTATGTTATTGTCTGGTTCTACAGGGGAATATCGTCAACACCAGGGAGGGGTGAGTTGTATGTTATTGTCTGAGTCTACAAGGGGATATTGTCAACACCAGGGGAGGGTGCGTTGTATGTTATTGTCTGGTTCTAGAGGGGGATATTGTCAACACCAGGGAGGGTTGAGTTGTATGTTATTGTCTGGTCCTACAGGGGGATATTGTCAACACCAGGGAGGGGTGAGTTGTATGTTATTGTCTGAGTTTACAAGGGGATATTGTCAACACCAGGGGAGGGTGCGTTGTATGTTATTGTCTGGTTCTACAGGGGGATATTGTCAACACCAGGGAGGGTTGAGTTGTATGTTATTGTCTGGTCCTACAGGGGGATATTATCAACACCAGGGAAGGGCGAGTTGTATGTTATTGTCTGGTTCTACAGGGGAATATCGTCAACACCAGGGAAGGGTGCGTTGTATGCTATTGTCTGGTTCTACAGGGGGATATTGTCAACACCAGGGGAGGGTGCGTTGTATGTTATTGTCTGATTCTACAAGGGGATATTGTCAACACCAGGGAAGGGTGCGTTGTATGTTATTGTCTGATTCTAGAGGGGGGTATCGTCAACACCAGGGGAGGGTGCGTTGTATGTTATTGTCTGGTCCAACAGGGGGATATTGTCAACACCAGGGAAGGGTGCGTTGTATGTTATTGTCTGGTTCTACCAGGGGTTGCCTATGTCGGGCAACTCGGTGTTGTAGGAAGTATTTTTACACATTTTCATATTTTGCATTTATTTGAATGCCATTTATGAGTTTAACTGCTGTTTTGAGTGTATATGGTTTTACGCCGCTTTTAGCAATATTCCAGCAATATCAAGCAAAAGGCTTCACACATTGTATCCATGTCGGGAATCGAACCCGGGCCTTCGGCGAGACGAGCGAACGCTTTGACCATAAGGCTACCCCGCCGCCCCTTAACTGCTTTAGACCGGCGACAACTCCTGGAGATGCTTGCTGATATTCGAATTAAGGTAATGCGTAGTCCTTTATTCACACGATGTGCAGAGTTGCGTCCCTTTGGCACGCCAGAAACCTATGATTGTGGTATCGAATCCCGGTTCGCCCCGATTATGTTTCTAGGTTTGTCAGCACTATACCCGTGCTGGTGGGTTTCACCGAAGTGGTAAACGTCTGAGACCTCAATCTCTTCGGGCTTTCCTTCCACATTAAGCTGACACGCCGTGATAAAACTGCAATAACGTTAAAAGCGTCGTTAAACCTAACACACTCACTCACTTCTTTATTCACAAAGCACTCATGGTAATAAAGTAAACGGCTACGAGATCGTTCCTGATCAAGGCCCAGTAAGGCAAGTTGTTTCATGTATGGCGAGTAATACAAACGCGGGCGAGTAGTGCACAGGGTGGCTAGTAATGCATTGAACAGGAGGCCGAGTAATGCACAAGAGCAGGAATACTGCACTCGAGGCCGACTGATGCATAAGATGGTGAGTAATGCATAAGAAGGCGATCAATGCACAAGAGACCGAGTAATGCACAAGAGGGCGATTAATGCACAGGAGGACGAGTAATGCACAAGAGGACGAGTAATGCACAAGATAACGAGTAATGCACAAGAGGGTGAGTAATGCACAAAAAGACGATTAATGCATAAGAAGGCGATTAATGCAGAAGAGGACGAGTAATGCACAAGAGGACGAGTAATGCACAAGAGTGTGAGTAATGCACAAGAGGACGAGTAATGCACAAGAGGGTGAGTAACGCACAAGATAACGAGTAATGCACAAGAATATGACTAATGCACAAAAAGACGATTAATGCATAAGAAGGCGATTAATGCAGAAGAGGACAAGTAATGCACATTGGGACGATCAATGCACAAGCTAGTGAGTAATGCACAGGAATTCGAGTAGTGCTCCAGAGGCCGTTAGATGCACAAGGGGACGAGTAATGCACAAGAGCAGGAATAATGCACACGAGGCCGAGTAATGCACAAGAGGCCAATTAACGCACAAGAGGCCGATTAATGCACAAGAGGCCGATTAATGCACAAGAGGACGAGTAATGCACAAGAGGGCGAGTAATGCACAAGAGGGTGAGTAACGCACAAGATAACGAGTAATGCACAAGAAGGTGACTAATGCATAAAAAGACGATTAATGCATAAGAAGGCGATTAATGCAGAAGAGGACAAGTAATGCACATTGGGACGATCAATGCACAAGCTAGTGAGTAATGCACAGGAAGTCGAGTAGTGCTCCAGAGGCCGTTAGATGCACAAGGGGACGAGTAATGCACAAGAGCAGGAATAATGCACACGAGGCCGAGTAATGCACAAGAGGGCGATTAATGCACAGGAGGACGAGTAATACACAAGAGGACGAGTAACGCACAAGATAACGAGTAATGCACAAGAGGGTGAGTAATGCACAAAAAGACGATTAATGCATAAGAAGGCGATCAATGC